TCAACGCCGGCGCCGTACGGGCCTGGTGTCACGGGTGCACGCCATCTTCGCCAAGTCTAGGTGCTATTCATGTCGGCGCTACTCTTAACCTCTATATGTGACGAATACAATATGTCTTTTGATATGGTCAATCTCTGTCGCATCCTTTGCTGTGTGATTCATGCCTCGTACGCTGTAAAGAAATTGCGTTCCGTTCGTTCATCCGGCTCAAATGCTACGTTTTCGCTTTGATACCTCGATATATGGCTCACGTTTACTTGTCCGTGTCCGCAACTGCTGGCACGGAGGGACATCAATCTTCTTCTTCTTCGTGCTGTTCACTGGACCGAGAAAATCGTGCTGTTCACTGGACCGAGAAAGTCGACACAAGCAGATGTCGGTCCTTTTTCGACCATGCTCGCTCCACGTCCATAACAATGTTTTTGCTTGCGAACGCACTTCGGCCACCTCGCCCGACAACCATGACGAATATATCCTCGATAAGGAATATACATGTCATGATTGGCACCAGCAGCGTAGACTAGAGATGACAATGAATGCGCCACTGGCAGTCAATAGCTGCAGTTCGTCACCTAGAGCAAACGGGGGGAGCCATCGGGTGACGCTCAAGCGAGCAACTACAAACCCAGCTGCACACACTCGAGGATGCCACGTGCTCGTCCCATTGAAGTCTACGAATGAACCGACTATGAATGGAGCCACAATAGTGCGTCGATCGGAAGGATGGTCCCCGCACCCTCTCTGACGAAGGTTAGGTCACTCTGACAAGGGCTAGGGCAATGGATCTGCATGCATGTACGACGGGCATCAACGGGCTAGCGCAGGAACAATATGTGTACTGCAGGAGCACATTTGACCACACATTCACTACAATAGTACTAGTAGTACAATAAATGATCTCGACCAAAGAGACAACTTTCTTACTTTCTCTGCCTCTCGCCAACTTAAGGTTAGTGCAGTCGACAATGTACTAGCGAGGAGCATGAGCGCCTGTGTACTCGTTGCCTCTCAGTGTCCTTTGTCGTACTAGTATATCAATAATACTAGTGTACGGATGGACACCCACCGCAAAGCAAGTAGAAGGACGGAGCTGGCAGCACGCCACGCCAAACCTTTCACATTCGATATGTACGAATATTAAAACGTACAGGTTGTACGGCGACCAGGGATTGGCTGCCGGATACGTAGTATAGATAGGGACATTTGTAGGGTGGCGTCCGGATACGAAGCTTCGACATTTTTTCGAGCGCAGTTTAGGCTTCCACACAATCCAAGGACGACCAAGCATGGGCCGTGAAGACCGACGTGGCGAGAACCTCATCGAGGGCAAGAACATCGAGTTCACGACGACGTCGGGCCTGGACGTCGTCCCGACCTTCGAGGCGCTGGGCCTCAAGGAAGACCTGCTGCGTGGCATCTACGCCTACGGCTTTGAGAAGCCGTCGGCCATCCAGCAGCGCGCGATCAAGCCGGCCGTCCAGGGCCGCGACCTCATTGCGCAGTCGCAGTCGGGTACGGGTAAGACGGCAGTCTTCTCGATCTCGATCCTGCAGTCGCTCGACTGCAGCAGCAACGAGACGCAGGCGCTCGTGCTCAGCCCGACGCGCGAGCTCGCCGAGCAGACGCAGAAGGTGCTCTTGGCCCTTGGCGACTACATGAACGTGCAGTGCCATGCGTGCATTGGTGGCAAGTCCATTGGCGAAGACATTCGCCGCCTCGACTTTGGCGTCCAAGTCGTCTCGGGCACGCCGGGCCGCGTCTTTGACATGATCCGCCGCCGCAACCTGCGCACGCGCAACATCAAAATGCTCGTCATTGACGAAGCCGACGAGATGCTCAACAAGGGCTTCAAGGAACAGATCTACGACATTTACCGGTACGACCCAACCACACCAACCTGGAAAAGGGCCCATCGTGTGCGTAGGTACTTGCCGCCGTCGACGCAGGTGCTGCTCATCAGTGCGACCATGCCGGCCGAAGTGCTCGAGATGACCAAAAAGTTTATGAACGAGCCCGTCAAGGTGCTCGTGAAGCGCGATGAGCTGACGCTCGAGGGCATCAAGCAGTTCTTCGTCGCTGTCGAGAAGGAAGAGTGGAAGTTTGACACGCTCTGCGACCTCTACGACACGCTCACGATCACGCAGGCCGTGATCTTTTGCAACACAAAGCGAAAGGTCGACTGGCTCACGACCAAGATGCGCGAAGCCAACTTTACGGTCGCGTCCATGCACGGCGATATGCCCCAGAAGGAGCGTGACGCGATCATGCAGGAGTTCCGGTCGGGCGGCTCGCGCGTGCTCATCACGACCGACATCTGGGGCCGCGGTCTCGACGTGCAGCAGGTGTCGCTCGTCATTTGTTACGATCTCCCGAGCAACCGCGAACTCTACATCCATCGGTAGCCACCTCCTTTGAGTGTGCAGTTGTGATACGGCTTATTGTGTAGCATTGGCCGATCGGGTCGATTTGGCCGCAAGGGTGTGGCCATCAACTTTGTCAAGGACGAGGACATTCGCATCCTCCGCGATATCGAGCAGTTTTACTCGACGCAGATCGACGAGATGCCGATGAACGTCGCCGACCTCATTTAAGAAGACCGCCGATACCAGTGTCGCGACTAATACTACGTGCTATCTACGACAATTTGTAGCCCTCGCACGCGCTGGTCCTTGATCTTTCCGCGTCCGTGGTCGTCACTGCGACCGACTTTGCTATGTGCCTTGTGTTTCGGCACTGTATGCTTGTGGTACACAACCTTGGTCCATCTCTATCTCGTTGGCTGTCTGTGGCAGTAGTTGCCTTATACAGTGGTGGAGCACTGGGTATTCCTATCCACACAGCTCTCGAACCACAAGGTCGAGACAAGGCAATATGTTTGTATCAATCTATCAGTAGATAGTCCGACCGAGAAACCGTTAGGATGGGACTGTCAGGAGCCTGTGGCCAGGGCTCCGGCAGTCAGCTAGTTTTAGTTGCCTATTGGCCTCATAGTACACACGCCAGTGTTTGGGAGTACGGCCTCCCTTTGGCGTTGTCTTCGAAGCGGAAACGGTCACACTGACTCGACCAAGGGAATACCTATTCGCTTGATTTCATTCAACATGAAAGGAATCTAAGAGCTCTTATACAGGTCTACCCGTGCATGTTATAGAGTGTGCAGTCGTGTCCTGGGGTATCGTAAAAACGGTCATGCGTGGCGGGGGCGCTTGTGCCTGTACGTCCGTCGCCTCCTCGTCGAGACGCGAGAGCTTCTTCTTGCAGCCCATTACTGCGTCCGCGACGCTCGCCATAGCCTTCGTCTTGGCACGGTGCACGTCCCATTCGGCCTTGGACACTTGGCCCGGCTGGGGCATCTTGGTCCAGTGGACAAAGCCGTCATTCCAACGGGATTCGGTTTTGGCCAGGACGTGATTCCGAAAGAGGACTTGAACGTTCGAGCAAACCGTCCGCTCTTGGTAAAAGTGGACTCGTTGATGTTTGGGTCGTCCAAGAACGCTCGCACCGTCTTGCAGTCGTCGCAATGCGTCGGGTCCAGCGCCACGTCGCGCATCCCAAAATCCACAATCGAGGGCAGCGGCGGCGTCGCCTCGTACCGAGTTACGACTGCCAACGCGAGCGGTCGAAAAGCCGCGACGGTGCGCGGGAGACGCTCAACTAGAGGCACGAGAAAGTCGCGCGTGGCAAAGATGTCGGTCGGTAGCGCCTCCAGCCATGCGCTCAGAAATGGCGTGAGCGAGTCCGGCGCCAAGTAGTGAAGGAGTCTCTCCGCCGCGAGCAAAAGGGCCCACCCCATGCACGTAATGTATTCCGCGCTCCATTCGTCGCTGTCGGGCCACGCCACTTTGTCGAGCAGCGACGGGATCGAGCGGTGGATGTAGTCCACGATGAGCGAACCCAAGACACCGAGGTCGACTCGGTTTCTCGCCAACGGACCGATGGCGCGCAGTATCAGAAGGCCGTAGCGCGCCACGCACTTTTCAAAGAGGGCGGCGTCGAGACGATGTGCCCTTTGCGCCAACACGAGCACGCTGCGGACAACGTCGACGTCAGTGACGCTTTGCGGCGCGAGCACATAGGCCGAGTCGTCCGAGTCGTCCGAGTGGTGGCGCGGCCGTCGCTCTGGGACTTGGTCCAACGCAACAAAGATGGTATCGAGAACGCTCTCTGACAGCGGCAGTAATGGCTGGGCGAGCGCGGCCGAGGCCAGACCGACCGCAACGACCGTGAGTGGATTCGAGTCCGCGGCTAGCTTGGACAGAACAGAAGGGCGCGCTGGAAAGAGATATGCGTCGACTGCAGCGACGAGCACCGGTGGCAAGCAGTGGCCCAAATAGTTGGCATCGGCCCGTTGCGGCGCTGTCGTCACGTAGTGTTCGAGCAAGAGCATGGGCGTGAGCAAGTCCGAGGCGCGGCCGGGCCAGTTCTTGTTGAGAAGGTCAATCACGGACGTCGCTCGCACGACGTCGTAGCAGCTAGAGCTGGATTCGATAAACACGTCGTGATTGGCTGCAATGGATGTCAACATGACTTCGCTGTCGTCGCAACGGCCGAACCCTCTGCGACGGCGCCGTTCGAGGACGCGGTCGCGCAGCTAACGACTGACAAAGCCGCGTTGCGGGTGCTCGCGCCATCGCACGCAGCGCTGTCAGCGACTGTGCATGACGCTTAAGAAGCTCAAGGGCACGCTCTCGTTGAAGAACTAGGTTGAAGAAACCACGACGCACAGTGCGTGCGGGGTCTCGTCTCGCTTGATCACTATGCTCACGCGACAGGTTCGCAGCTCGCGGATGCCAAAAACGTCGGGCATTGCCTCCCGCCGGTCCCCGTCACCGCCGTCGACAGCTTCCTCTTTGGTCCTTGCCTGTCGATCGTGTCGGTGCATGGCTTGCGCTGGATCGCACCAAGTCACCGTTGATGCCCAGCATCGCTGCCGCCGTGAAGACGGTGCAGTCGCTTGCAGCTACATCCGACAAGAACAAGCCAGTACCAGTCTCAAAACGGCCTCGTTGACCTAGGTTCCTGCGGAGTGGGCTGGTACGAAACCTCGTTTTGAGAGAAAGTGAAACTGATAGTCAAGTGTCCGTTGTACGGATCGATGGAAACGGACAGGACAGACAGACAAATAATCCCCGTGGGCTGATGTAACCAGAGGTTCCCACCCGTATATATTTTTATTCCCTTGCTTTATTCCCTTGCCTCGTCAAGTAGTCAAATGGGCCCAAAACATAGCGAGATAGCGAGTGCTCGATTGCACATCATTTGCAAACGCAAATTCTTTTTTTACGTTGACTGCTTACAAAAGCCTCAAGCGCTTGGCTGGCGGCACCTCCGTTTCCCTCGTCTCGTCTTCATGTGTCGCGTCTCGCAGCTTGTGCTTCAATTGCTCGATGAATGCCGTCACACGCGCCAACATCGCGACCTTCGCTTTGTGCGCGCGCCACTCGGGCTCTGAGACTTGACCCGGCTGCCGTACTTTTTCAAGGCGCACCGAACCCTCGAGAAATATTCGATCCTTGTCCGCGGGATCCGTGTCGACAAAGCAGAGACGGGCGGCGTCTGCGTCCCCAATGCGCACGAGGTTCGGGCACAGCTCGTTTCTACCGCAATGACAGGGCTGCGACGCCTTGTCGGCTTCGCGCGCAAATTCGTGGGCATTACGACACTGGTAGCAATGTTCATTGTCGAGGCTTGGGTGTGGTTGCATTTCAAAGTTGGTGACGTCTGGCAGCGGCGGCTCGGCAGCGAACCGCTCGACGACCGTCTTTGCCACTAGCCGATAGACTGCAGAGGCTTGGTCAAGGCGCACCACAACCGGCAAGAGCAGACTGTCGATGGCATCGAGCGTCGTCGGCAGAGTTTGCAACCACCTCGCAGCAAAGGCAAGGGTAAGGTTTGGCGCCACAAGCTTCAACGCGAGCACCGTGTCGAGGAAGAGAAAGACGCCGATCTGGGTGGCAGCGTCGTCCTCGGCCGCGTACACGGGGCGGCGCCACGCCTTTTCCCACACCGAGTTGTCCGCGAGCGTCTCGGCCACACTATCGACGTAGTCGACAAGCAGTGGGCTTAAAAGCGCCGTGTCTTCAAGTTGCGACGTGATCGAGGCGACGGCAGGGAGCATCCCGAGACCCCAAATGCCCGTGCACGTGGCAAATAGCCCAGCGTCAAATCGCTGCGTGAGACTCGCCAAGGCAAGAACGGCGGCAGGGACATCGATGCGGTGTCGAAGAGCAGCTGCATAATCTTGTGGCATCGCTCGCACGGCCTCGAGGATCTCGTCCACCACGGCCACCGGCAGTGGGAGCAAGGGCTGGCAGCGCGCCGCCGACGCCAGACCCACAGCAATATCCTGGAGTAGGTCAAGGCCGTGGGTTGGTAGATCAAAGCTCATGACCGCCGGGAGCGCTGGAAAGAGGTAGGCGTCAATGGCTGTGACGAGAACCGGCGGGAGGCGTACGTAGTTAGCGTCGTAGAGTTGCGCCACCGTCGTTTGCACATAGTGCTCAAGCAAGAGAAGACCCTTGAGAAAGATTGGGCCACGGTTTTGTAAACGTTTGTTGGTGAGCAGACCCGGCGTTGCCCGCACGACATGGTAGCAGCGCTTGAAGAGCTCAGCGTCGAGCGCCTGACCAAGCGATGGGCACACGGGCGACTCAGTGTCGAGGCCAGCTAAGCTCGTGAGCAGATGGAGAGCTTCATCTGCATGCGTCCTGATCCAGCGCTGGACGAGTCGAAGCACGGCAGTCTCCAGCGGGCCCCAGCCATGCATCGCCAAGAGACTGTGGATGACGGGTGCGATATCGACCAACGGAAGCACGTCCTCGACCGTGATGTAGTCCGAAATAAAGAGACTGGAGAGCTCGACGTTCTTTAGGGCCACCAAGATCCGCTGCATGCGCTTGAGGTGCCGCGGGACGTGTTGCTGCTGTCGTTCGACCGACAAGTAGATACGCATGGCGTGCGACTCGATGGGCAAGGGATTTGAGACGTGAAAGATGGACATGGCCGCCAGCACGAGCTCCCGCGTCTTTGAAATACCAAGGTACGCATCATCATCGTCCTTGTTGTCCTGTGCCGTGAGCCGCTGCGCCAAAATGAAAAAGGCTTTGGCCATCCCGACCAAGTTCAACCGGTGGCGCTTGGGCCAAAAGACAATGGCGCGTGATGGTCCATGAAACTCGGGGGCAGTTGGCGGCGGCAACGACAAGAAACCTTCGATGGTCGTGCGACGGCAGTCGCGGACAACGTCATCTGGAATGCCGCACGACGGATGCGGCAAAAACGTCTCGATCGTCGTGCCGGTGAGATCGGCGAGGCCGACGTCGTAGCATCCCGTCGCGACAAGAGCGTCCACAAACGCCATGTCCAGACCCATGAGCGACTCAAACGAGAGTCGGTCGTCAGACGTAAAAAGCTCCGTGCCGACGCGCTGGATCGTTGCGACGCCCGACTGCCCGAGAGCCTTGAATGCTGCGATCGCAGCGTCAAGCGTCGGCGGCACCAAGTGCATCGGTCCGTCAATGTAGTACAATCGATAGACAAGGGCGACGCGGCGCCCGGACGTGATCGCTTCAGATGTGATCGTCGTCGAGAGAAATGTGGCAGCGAACGCGGTCTCGACCAGCGGCGTGTTGTCATCAACTGTATGCGACTGGCCACCGTACGTGAGCGTGAGAGCGCCGCCTTTGTGGGCAGACGGAAGCCATAGGATGACGACGCCAAAGGTCGTAGCGCATATGGCCTCGTCATCGGTCGGACGCAAACAAAAGCTCTCGGCGTCCCCGATGTCGTCGACGACCATGTGCGACAGCACCATCTTGGCGTCGCTTGACGGCACGACGGCATCGACAGAGCCGTCGTACACTGTGGAGAGCATGTCGTCGTAGTGCTGCGCGTAGCGTTGATCAATGACAATGTCGGAGGACGGGATGACCTTCGTGTCGGGGTACAAGGTCGCAATCTGCTTTGCTTGCGCAGCGCCGAGCGGCCACGAGAGCGGCTCGTCCATGCCGGCGAGCGTCAAGAGGATGGGCGCTGGGTGCGGTAGTGCGCCGCTCGCAGCAAATGTGCTCGGCGCGTGGAGCAGGTCGTACGCAGCTTCGAACGCGGCCGTGCTTGGGTTCGACATGGCACTCAAAAAATAGCATGAACAATACCGCCGGCCGCAATGAAACGGTCGGCTGGCACCAGTCAATTGGCCGTTTGGGAATACTTGAAGAGTATTTGAGTAATTTGTAATTGGCATTTATTGCATAATTGTTTTGCAATATGCTGCTCCGGCATCGAGCCCACAGAGGATGCATCGCCTGCAGATTCTCCGAGATGCAGGCAAATACAAGGACCAAGGTATGGTATATACCTCCGCAAGCTTGTCTTGTTCCCACTGAGTGCCACCAAGGGTATTATATGCAATGACGGCGCGTTGAGTGTGTTCAATTACTTGTGATGCTGCCGGGGTCGCTTCGACGCGGGTGCTTGATTCTCCTTCTCGTGTCGTTGGGTCCGAGCTGCGATCGACCGTAGTTGCTCCCTGGCATTGGCCACAATCGGGCTGTGCTCGCCATTTTCTGGATGGCAACCGCGTGTGCCTTCCACGCGGACTCCGTCACTTGGCCAGGCTGGGGCAGCTTCAAATTGGTACGGGAAGATCCATTGTAGCTCGAAGGCGAGGCGAGACGGGTCGAATGAGCATTGATAATGCAAGTGATCGCATCGCACCGACGATATTGGTGTGAGTTTAGCTTGGCCTCGTCGGGGCTCTGCACAAACTTGCGCACGTCGCTGCATTGCGCACAGTGCGTCGGATCCAGCTCAATGTCGCACATTGCAAAGCTGACCTACATCGGCAGTGTCGGAAGCGCTTCAAAGCGCACAATCAGCGGGCGTGCCAACCGCCAGAGCACCTTGACCGTTGAGCCGTGCATCGCGGCAGGTGCAGCGAGTGTACTTGGGAGCGCCACAAGTCATACCCGAAGGAACGGGGTACCGTTCGTGGGCGAAAGCCGCTGGAGAAGGTCGACCGCATCGAGCAAGAGGCGTACACCAATCGCGTCGGAAGTATCGCGGTACATCCTATCGTCTTTAGACCAGCTGGAGCGCCAATAGTTGGGTGAGACGAGTGTCGTGGGCCCGCGGCGGAGGTACGCACGCATTCACGAAGGGGGTGACCTTGCTAAAGTTGGGGCAATGCCGGGTACGGAGGGTCCGTAGCGCCGGCAGCAACTTGAGGTCCCAGAGTTTGACACATTTCTCAAAAAATGCCGCGTCGACTCGGTTTGTCGCGAGCGCCAAGTGGAGGATGCTCTGGATGACCTTCACTCGCATGCATAGCACCGTGTGCCCGTTGAGTGTTGGGTCGGTCACGGCACGTACAATGCAGTCAATCACTGTCCATGACAGCGGCAGCGATGGCTATCACGCTGCCGCAGAGGCAAGACCGACGGCAACCACGCGGACCATGTCGGTAGCCGTGCTTGGCCATGATCGACGGGCGCGGTGCAAAGAGGTAGGCATCGACAGCAGCAACAAGCACCGGTGGGAGGCGGTGGCCGACGTAGTTGGCTTTGTGCAGTTGTGGCGCCGTCGTCGTCACGAAATGTTCGAGCAGCAGAATGTTCTTGACAAAGTCCGAGTTGCGACCATACCAGTCTTCCTCGGTGCCAAAAGAATTCGGGACAAGACCGGGCATCGCCAGCACGATGTCATAACACCGCTAGAAATGCTCGACCTGGAGAGGCTGTCGGAGTGGTGGGCATACCGACTTCTCGTTGTTGACGAGGCCAGCCAAGTTCGTGAGCAGCTGAAGAAGTTCGAGTATTTTACAATCCAGCGCTGGACGAGCCCGAACATCGCTGGCTAGAGCAGCTCCCAGCCATGCATGACGAAGAGATCGTGGAGCCAGACGGCAATACCGACAAAGGTAATGGTGAGCACGTCGCGTACGAAGGCGACCGTGAGATCAAAGTCGTCGAGCACATCCAGAATGAGCTGGAGCTTCTGGAGCGGCGAGAGAGGTCCACTGTTGCGAGTGCCTGTGACGAGCGATAGTCGCTGTCTACAAAGGTCATGTTCGGAATCCTGCATTGCAAGCGTGCCAGTTTTGGTACCGTGGAAGACAAAGAAAGCCGCAAGACATAGCTCGCGAAGCTCGTCGGGGCCTTTTCCACTTCGTGGCGCCGTGAGTTCAGAGACAACCATGTCGACGATGTTCGGTGCACAAGCCATGCGCGGTGGCGCTTGGGCCAAAAAGCGAGGACGGGGCGGGGCGCTTGCCAGTCACTTATGATCGGTGGGTGGTACAAGAGCGCCTGCGGGGTCAAGGGATTGTACAAAACAGTTTATATCCTTGCGGATCGCACACGAAACGCACTTCGGGATCGCCGAGGTGCGCGATGGCGGCCTCGTACGCCGCCGTCGCAGGGTTCATTGCGAAAGTGCAAAGTCTATCGATGAAATCAATCCCGTCTGGTTTAGACAGCCAAATCCATAATAGCAAGCGGTTTTCTTAAAAAACAAAATGGGCGCCAACAGCTACAACAACGCAGCGAAAGGCGGGTCGAGTCACCATTGCCGCGCTACGCGACCGAGCATGGCACTAAAGACATCGAGGACTACGTTTTAAATATACATGGACCGAGCTTGCTGGTGCGGGACCACGTGTACGTGTTGACGAGGGCTTGTACTGTACGTCGGAAGCCTTAGAGCCAACGAGGAAACCAGCTCAACGTGTGCCAAGTTGCTGAAATGCGTCTGCGAAGCGACCGCGTCAGCACGACTAGTCGTCCACTACACTAGACACCGTAATGCACATGACATTAGAGAGGACTCATGGTCGCTTCTAGCTGCATGTTCATAAACGCATCGTCAGGGAGGGACATGGTACATCATCCTTCCTGAATTTGACCATTATGGGGTGACAGAGCCCTAGTTTTTGCCGCCACTGCCGCCTTGGTTGCCACCCAAATGGTTGCCTTGCTTGCCGACGCCGCCGCTCATGTTGCCCGTCGTGTGGGCGCCGCCGTGGGCGTGGGGCTCGGGCTTGTGCCCGCCGTCGTGGTGCTTTGTCGTGTTGGGCCACCCCGTCGCGTTGCTCTGGCCGCCGCCGTGGTCGTTTCCGTGTGGCATCGTGCTTCTTTGAAAGTGAGCGTCGAGTTGTCTGCGTCAAGAGTCGTTGGCTCGCGTCCCACGTCTCGAGAAGCTTCGAAACCCTCTTTGCTCGTCCAGAACACAACGTTGAGTCAGGTTCTGAGTCAGGTTCGAACCGTCTTGCCAAGCACGGTTGCGTCGTGTCGCTCGTCATCAAAAGCGCAGCGCCTCATCCCACCAGACAATGGCGAGTTGAGCGATCCTGATGCGCACGTAGGTAGTCATTCTGTTGCCGAACGGCGAGTGGGTTCGACCACCTCATCGACCGCTCTCGATGATTCGTTGAGTTACGGAGCGACTAGACAGGCACAGTGCAACAAAAGTGCCGTCCTATGCAGTCTTACCAGCCCCTCGAGGAACACGACCGGCCAACGAGGACCAAGCAACCAAGACGGCGCGCCAGGAAAGCGACCGCAGGGCCATGCAACGGCGCGCGCCAACGAGGACGAGCTCGCCAATACTGCGCGCCTCGAGAAAGAGCAACTGGTTTGCGCGCAGCGCTCAAGGGCATAGATGCTGTACTCGAAGAGCTCGTGGGCCACGTCCACACGGGTGTCGACATCGACTCGGGTATGATGAAACTTCTTTTCAAGAGCTATTTTTTCGAAGTTTCCGACTTTGGCGCTCACGCACTTCCTATGCCAGGGCGACCCGAACGCAGGGAGAAGTGGGTCATCGAGCGGCACGTCATGGTGTTGCGCGTCAGTGGTACACATCGACATTCGCACGTCGTCGACGAAGACGAGACGCCCAGCAACGACAACCTCGGAGACGCCGTCGCGACGGATTATGGCCAAGCCACCATGCTATCCGCGCTGAACGTCATCCACTCGGCGGTTCTATATGTAGTTTCGTAACTAATGCATTTTGGAAACTTGAGCAGTCCATAATATATTCCTGCCAGCCCCTTCCACCGGAACTTTGTCGCGTTAAATAATGCAACAATGTTCAACATTTAATCGAGTGTACTATGTAGTACAGTACAAACCGGGTCATTTTCGATCCACGCCATGTTGCGACCAATGTACTCTAGATACGACTCATCCAACGACGCTCTTGGTGCTGAAATACCTCCAATGTCCGTGGCCGTGAGCTCAGAAAACGGCAAACCATGATCGTATTCTTTTTTGCGACTCGGACCCCAACCCTAGAACCCAAAGGGCAAACTGCAGCCGACCAGAGAGACGCTTATCTCTGGTGTCCACACGTAGATACATCTCTTTACCATTGCAAATACCAATCGCCGACGAAAGAACGGGAAAATGTGCTTCATGCTTCACTAGGCCCGGCACACGCGCTTGGCCAACGGCGCGTCGGTCTCCTCTTTGCCTTGCTCTTGGTCGTCTTTGTCACGCATTTGGCTCTTCACCGTCTCGATCGATGCCGTCACGCTGTCTCTAATCTGGACTTGCCGGGCGTGCGTACGCCACTCGGCTAATGGGCCGGGCATCGCAAGTTTTTCAATTTTGTACCCTTCGCCTTGGGTCCAAGGTCTGCGGACGGCAACATGCGCATGGTCCGCCTCGAGAATATGAGAGAGGGTCGAACAGAGGCCGTCTGAACCGCAACTTAGTGTGAGCGTGTCCGCTTGGGTGTACAAAGCGTGGACGTTTCCGCACTGGTGGCAATGCTGAGGGTCGAGGTCTTCAGGCGGTGGCAGCGCAAAGTCCGGCGTGACGACTGGGAGCGGTGGCAAGTGTGTCCACCGATCGATGGCCGCCGTCGCCAGTAGTCGATGAACGGGACTGCTAGTGTCGAGACGGGCCAGCACGGGCAAACGATGTCGGTGAAGCGCGTCGCGCGTCGTTGGCAGTGCCGCCAGCCACGCTGAGGTGACGGTGCGGCTCTTTTGTGGTGCCAACTGCTCTACAAGGTGGAGCACGTCCAGGAAAATCACGGCGCCGACTTTAATCCAATCTCTGTCTTCTTCGGTCGGACGAGGCAGCCACTCTGGCCACGCAGTGTCGCGAGCGAGCGTCTCGATGACGGCGTCGACATAGGCAAGAGCGAGTGGGCGCAACGGCGCAGAGTCTGCCAGTTGTGGGTAAATCGCCGCGATGACGCGAAACAGGGCCACGACCCCCACCGCGACGCACGCGTCAAAGAGTGCTGCATCGAGACGCTGCGTGAGGCTCGCCAAGAAGAGAACGGCGGCATCCGTGTAGGACGTGTACAAGTAATCGTAACTGGTCGGCGGCTCAGACATCCGGACGGCCTCAAGAATGCCGTCGACGACCGTGGAAAGAGGTACGCGTCGATAACGGTGACAAAGGGCAGCGGCAGTCGTTGACTCATGTAGTTGGCGCCTTGGAGTTGCGGCGCTGTCACTTGGACATAGTGCTCGAGTACGAGGACTTCCTCGATGAAGACGTGGCTTCGTCCCCACACATGCATCTTCGTCAATGATCGGGTGTCGCGACAAGAGCACGGTAGCAGCGCTTGAAAAGCTGAGGCTCAAATGGCTGCTGCAATGGAGGGCATACCGCCTTGGCCTTATTGAGGCCGGCCAGGCTCGTGAGCAACTGCAGCGTATCATTTGCCTCCGTCTGTATCCAGCGTTGGACGAGCCGGAGCAGCGCAGCGCAGAGCGGCTCCCAGCCATGCTTGGTCAAGAGATGGTGCACAAGAGGAGCGATGTCGACAAGAGGAACCTTGGGCTGGATCGTGATATGGTTCGAGAGAAAGACAGCTGTGAGCTCGACGTCGTTCAGCGCCATCAAGAAGTGCTCCATCAACACAAGGAACGATGGGGCGCGTCGATTGTAATGGCGCCGCGTGAGCGATGCGTTCTCGAGATCAAAGGCGTACATGGCTGCAAGCACGAGCTCTCGCGTGTCGGCTACGCCAAGGTAGTCGGGCTCAGTTTCGTTGGCGTCGTCCTCGGGCTGCGACAGGCGGTTCTCCAAAAACTCAAAGACACCACTGACGTCGACGAGGCACGCGGTGGCGCTTGGGCCAAAACACAATCGCGCGGGCCGTGCTTTCAGAATCACCCGACGGTGCAGTGTAGAGAAAGCCTTGGATCGTCTTGCCAACGCAGTTGCGGACCACGACCGCTGGAAGGTTGCACGCTGGGTGCGGTAGAAGCGTCTCAATGGTGCACTTGGATTCTCTGCCATCGATTTTCAAATCCGCGAGGCCAACGTCAAAGCATCCGGTGGCGACAAGCGCCTCCACAAAGGTCGCATCGATAATGCTGAACGAATCAAACGAGTCACACTCGATCGAAACTTCGAGTCCGATCCGCTGGAGCGTCTCAAAGGGCGACGTCCCGAGCACCTTGAGTGCTGCGATCGTAGGATCGAGCGTCGGTGGCACGAAATACTGGGAGCCCTCACGAAGGTACACGCGGTACACCAGTGCGACGCGGCGTCCAGATGTGATTGGCGCCGATGTGATCGTCGTCGAGAGGTAGGCTGCTGCGTACGCCGTGTCAATGAGCGGTATCGCATCATCAAACGCGAGCGAGTCGTCTCCATACGTAAACGTAACAACCCCGCCTTCGTGCCTGGACGGAAGCAGTATGATGAGGACGCCAAAGGTCGTCGCGCAAATGGCCTCGTCGGCCGTCGGACGCAGGCGAAAGCTCTCGGCGTCCCCGACGTCGTCAACGACCATGTGCGACAGCACCATGTCGGCTTCGCCTGACGACACCAAGCTCTGGATTGAGCCTTGGTAGACTGCCGTGAGCATCTCATCGTAGCGTTGAAAGTAGCGTTGATCAATGGCAATGTCGGAGGACGGAATGATCTTCGTGTCGGGGTACAAGGCCGCGATCTGCTTTGCTTGCGCAGCGCCAAGCGGCCACGAGAGCGGCTCGTCCATACCGGCAAGCGCAACGAGAAAGGGCGCTGGGTGTAGCAGCGCGCCGCTCGCAGCAAATGTGCTCGGCTGCGGCATGTCATTCAGCACGTCTTCGTCCGCGTAGGCTTGCATCATCCTCTTGAGCCCTTTTGCGCCAAAAATAATCACATATGACCGAAAATGGACCTCAAATTGCCTTTTTAGAGCTAGTTTCAGGCAAACAATATCCTAAACAAACGGAGACGAGGCATTTAGTCCTTGATGTCCATCATCCCCATGCTTGGCACTCTCTCAACTCCATGCATGCGCTCCGATGGACGTGCCAAGCGGTCCCGGCAGTGATGACCAAAGGTTCGCTGTGCTGTAGCCACCACGTAATGCAGTCGATCAACGCCGTCGACGTCGTCATTTGCGATATCGAATCTGCCAAGGGCACTGTCAACGGGGCTGTATATGCAGTCCAACTTCCCAGTATGGAGAATGGAGACTAGCCGGCACGGGCCACGTCATCTCGGCGTCCTCCGTGCTGTACATTAGGGTAGCGAGGACCAAGGGTCCATAATAATAATACTAGTCGAGCGCCTTCTTACATCCACGGGTGGTGTTTAAAAACACCGGTGAGTGGAAAGCTCACAAAATACAATACACAATACACACACAACACATGCAGATTTGCTCACACGACCGCCATGATGTCGCTTGCGTCAAAGGTAAACGGCGCAAAGAGCTGCGGCGACTTTGGCTTGGCCGGCGCGCTGGTCGTTGTCGGTGCGGCGGCCGGGAGCGGCGGCGGCGGACCTTGGGGCAACGGCGGCGACGGCCCGGGCGGCAACGGCGGCGGCAGCGGCGGCTGGAACCCGGCGTTGTGCGCGTACTTGGTCGTGACCTTGCCAAAGTCGTGCGGGTTGCCATTGTACGTAAACTTGACGCCCGTGAGCTGCTCGTTGACGCTAAACATCTCGTCGACGTTGAAGCTAAAGCTTGCGTCGCGCGCGCCAAACGTCTCGTCGTTGACGTCGTCGCTGGCCGTCGGGATTTGCTTCTCGGTGCCAAAGTGGCCGCGGTTGGCCTTTCGGGGCCGCGACTGCGGCGTCGAGTACGACCGGTTGTCGGCGGCGGCGACGACGTGGGCGGGATGCGGGCGCTGCAGAATTTGCACGGGCGGCGACGGGCGTGGCGGGGACGCCGGCGCGTCGACGTCATTGTCCTTGGCCGGGCGGTTGCGCGGCGCCGAGACCGACCGCCCTTTTGCCGGCGTATTGTTGCGGCCATTGGCCTTCTTGGCCTTCTTGTCGTTTTTTCGAGACGCGATCCAGCGGCGAAGGCGCGACATGAACGGGAGCACGCCCCACGTCTTCTTCGGAAGGTCGTCAAACTCAAACCACTGGATCAAGCTGATCTCCTTGCGCGTCTGGGGCGCAAAGGCAAAGTCTTCGGGCACGGACGTGATGATGTACATGCGCATGCGCTGCTGGTTCATCGTAAACTCAATGTAATCCTTGGGTGTGACCGCGATCGCGGGCGGCGCGTACCCGCACTCTTCAAAGACTTCGCGCTTGGCGCACTCGACGTCCGACTCGCCTTGGTTGACCTTGCCGCGCGGCAAGCTCCACGACGTGCCCTTCCAGTTGCGGACAAGGATCAGCTTGGTCTTGGTTGGGTTGAGGAGGATACCGCCGACGACCGGGATCTGGCTCTGGTACGCCTTAAAGTCCTGAAACATGCTTTCGCATTGGGCCTTGAGCGGCTGGAGGAGGATGCAGTGGTTGAACATCTTGCGCGCAAAGTCGTTGAGCTTGAGATGCGTTAAATGCGCGTGGTGGTCGGCGTAAAAGTCTTCGTAAAACCAGTAGCACTGCTCGATCTGGAAGAAGAGCCGCTCGCTCGACGAGAGCTCCGACTCGGGGAGGTTCATGAGGAAGCGGCTTTGGAGCTCGTCCATGACTTCGTCCATCGTCGGCTTCTTCCCAGCCGGCGCGAGCGTCGGCGGATGTGACACGGCTTGTACTTGCATCATGCTGTGGATGCGGGCAGAGATGATGGCACACGAGGGCTTGTTCAAGTCCTGGCGGAATGCAGATTCGGCTAGCGCGGGTGGCTATGAGGACGGCTGCGGCGGTCGGGCAGCGGAGGTCCTAGAGTCCGAGGGGCCGGCACGGAGGTGCTGCAGCTCTTATTGTTCTTTGGTCAAACGCTGGCGACACAGCCGAGTTGTATGGGCCATCTCCCTGGTTTGAACAACATGATGAAAAAGCGTATCTTCCGTATTTATGTTCCACTTGGTAATTGTATACACATTGGAGAGAAGCGCACCGGCGCTGTCCACATACCTTGAAATACGAACCTTGCGCCGTTTCTCAAGTGAAAAACCGACAGTGCTTCCGGATACGATCCGTAAAAATGCTGGACCGCACCCAATGTGGAGGGGGATGCGTTTTAAACCGAGCGCTGAGGATAAGCAGGACGCTTCGCAACGACTGTATCCAACAACAATTGTACTAAGTAGTAGCTCGGGGTACTAGGCAAAGCAAGGCTCCTCTGGGGGCGCGCTGCATCGTTGCGTCCACAGCGCACCGTTGGACGCTCCAGCACACGGCGTGAATAATACAGTGGACCACAGTGTTTTAAACAGACTCTGTGGACCACGCCATCTGTTTAAAACGAATACCTTTTTAAATTGCTCCCTTCGCCCGTCAGCCGCCCGCCATGTTCGAGGTCGTCTCCGCGGTCCTCGCCTTCTTCATGATCCTGGGGCTCACCTTCATCAATGGCTTCTGGGTACGGCGCGATGGCGCTCTCTTTGCAAGGCGAAGTTGGCTCTATACACATGGATCTAGCTTGTCACGCTCGATGAGCTCGAACTCGACCATCTCAACCCGGCCGACGTCTGCAAGCGCCTCAACAAGGTCGTTGGTACGATAGCAGTCATTGAGGTTCCTTGGCCTAGCATACGAATGCTCTGTGTCTAGTGCCCGAGATGGCGGTGCACGGTCTCCTTCTCTTTGCCTGCATTCTCGGCTGGTCGCCTTGGGTGCTCTTGCTCAACCTTCCGATCGCAGTCTACCACGGCAAGAAGTACGCCACCCCATTATGGAAGCGGTATGCTCATGCACTGCTACCTCTAGGTTTTCGACGAACCAGCACTACTTGGACCCGACCGAGATCCTCCGCTTCAAGAACCTCAAGGCGTCGCGCAACGAGGCGATCGCCAAGACGATCTTCTTTGGGCTTCAGATCATCTACGGCATGTACTGGTACGTCAACGTGCGTGCATATCGCGTGCGCTCATGTGCTCTAGGATGGTCTCGGCCATCATCACGTCGTCCGTGCGAAAGACCATCACGTAATGCGTGGCTATGGCCTCAAAACTTGTAACATCGTGTTTACGCTTGGTTCCCGTCTTAATGGGCGCGGTGCTTGAGCAAGAGCTTGAGCGCGAGACCTGCAATCATGACGGCGCCGGCGGCCAAGCCGAGACCGATGCATCCGTCGCGGTTGACGTGGTCTTTTGCTGACTGGTGCAGGCTCAGCGCCTTTTCATGTGTCGGGTTGATCCGCAGCAGGACTTCGCATTGCTTTCGGCATTTGCTAAACTCGCCAAGGTCATAGTACGCCAGCGCCAGGCAGTAGAGGCAGTCGGTTTTGTTCATATAGTCTTCGTCCAGGAGATCTAGATCATCATGCACATAAGACCAAGCGGGCTTCGTCAACGCGATGGACCGTGGAGGAGGCCAATGCCCCGCTGCTTGTTCTCGGGCTTGGCGTCGCGCGCGAGGGCCTTGGCGTACGTAAACTTGACAAAGGCGCTTGGGTAGTCCTTCGCCTGCTCGGCGAGGTACCGCTCGCGGGCCGTGTCCAGGTCCAGCTCCACCGCGGTCGTGTCCTTCATCGGCCGTCGTCGTCGATTGCCCAAGGAGGATCAGGCCGAATGTTGGTATCCGGCGCTTCGAACCTTTTCTGCCACCTTCGCTTGGGATTGGATAAAACGCACTATAACGTCGCGTTAAAGGCGGGTCCACATCCCACACGCGGCAGTTTCCAACAGGAGAAAATGCCACGAAGCGTTTAACGCATAGGTTAAATCCAGCACATCCGCTCGAAACCTCTCTAGCGCGCTCTCTGGCTTGTGCCACACAACGCCTCGTCTAAAGCCCAAACGCTGGTCCCAACGACTCGGACAAATTTGTACGACGAGTCGCATTGCAAAGCGGACAGAGGCGCTCTTCACGCTAACAATATTCGCAAGCTGGCTCGACAACGACGAGTCGATAGAGCTTATGCACTCCGTCCTTGCGCCATAGCAGCTTACGCTGCACTCTTACTAGTACGCTGTCGACTCGTACTCCGTGGCAGTGCCATCGAGTAAGCTTACGAGTCGAGTGTCTTGCCTGGCCCGCACAACGATCGATCCATGGCCCTTCGCAGTAAACAAGCTCTTTGAACGTGGCGTCGTGTCCGCGCAGATAACCATTGGAGTGACAACGGGAGGATCTTGGTGTACCAAATTACGTCGGCTACCGTTGCAGAGCTTGTCATCACGGAGCTACATGCCGCCACCGTCAGCAATGCAAATCTCTACGGGTCGTCCTTGGCGGAACCGGTCGGGCGTCCACGCGAGAGGGTCGAAGCTACCACTGGATGCATGCATTTACCACTTGATGACAATACAGTAGGTTTTGTTGTTATCCTGTTCGCTGTCATGGGTCAATGTCGCTGTGAACGTCGAGAAGGAGCTTGAGCACGGTGAAGGATCCAGTTCACGCTCGCATTGACATACTCGCATCAGCCAACGCGTAATCTTGTCGCCAAAAAGGCAACGAAAGTTGGCGCCACGGAGACTTGATCTCGCCCTGCGATGAAGATAACTTGTGCCGCACGACGTCAACCACACGCCAAGTGTCTACGCATACTATAACCGTGGCTCGCAGTAAGCGTAGGAGCTCGTATGCTTGATGAGGCCACTTGTCATCGACCCAGCTATCGACATCCTCTGGCGTCCATAGCGATCGTGTCGCACGGGGCGCGCGATTCAGCGTCGGTCCGCACAGCAACGCAGTTGACTCGCACTGGTTTACCAAGCCTGTCTCAAGCAGTTTGTCACTGTTCCAAAAGATCTGGTCGGTCTTGCGCTGGTGCATAATAGGACCATTTTCAAGAAGAGAAAGAGGTTTTCCGCGCGATGGGACGAGCAGTCACGAACAACAGAAGAACAGAAGCACAGAAGGACAGAAGTCCAGCCAGCAAAACAAGCCAAGGCACAGAGCGGCCCCGCTCTGATCATTCCGCATTTTGCAGCCCGTAGCAAATTAGCTAACCCACCTCGCCCACCACTGGGCAGGCGGGGCACCAATACATTCGTTACCCCCCAATCTGCTCGGCCGTCTGCGAGGAACTGTGAATACCGGGGTATACCATGCCGGTACCTCTCGCTTGACCAAGAGACGCGTCTTCCTGCTTCGCAACAAGGCTGCCTCTGCAGCTACGCACGCTCGCCATTGAGACGGTATCGATACATGGCTGCTAATTCGGGCTATAAACGAGAAAGCTTGCACCACCTGGCTGTCGATGAATCCGGATACGCGTGTCGCATCCGGCATCAGCATTGCACCGTTTCTGTTTCTTGCGAATCATATTTCGTCGGCAGCCAAACCAGCAAGACGATGGGCGACTCGCCACGGGGCATGCACCTCCGGACGGGGTCCGCCTCCATGATCGGCGCCGAGACAAGCTCCGCGGAAGACTACCTCGCGCGCTTCCTCACGACCAAGCTCTCGTGGAAGGGCAAGTACGAGCGCATCTTCGCACTGACCTCGACGCGCTTTTGCACGCTCGACCCCAAGGACTTTGACCTGACCAACACGTGGTCGTACGCCGCCTTTGTGGGCCTCGACCTCGACCCGACCGACGACCAGGTGCGACGCATCTACCATGCTCCATCTCTAAGAGGCACGCTAGGTCTTTACCATAGCGTTCAATGGCCCCAAGAAGGAAGAGCAGCTCAAGCTCCGGTACAAGTACCGGTCGTACCTCGTGAGCGAGTTCCTTCGCTTGCACGCGGCCTTTTGCACGGGGTCGCCCGTGCCTGGCGCGGCGCCGGCGCCAGCGGTGGCCTCGATCGCGTGCACCAAGCTCACGCGCCACGACACGGAAATCAACTGCGTTTTGGACGTGGCCGTCGACGCGATCCTCTTCAAGCAGCCGCTCGCGTCGAGCAGTAGTAGTACGAACGCGATGCCGGTGCCCCTCGGTCGCTACGCCTACACGGATCTCGACCATGTGACGTCCCTCGCCAACTCGACGACCGGCTTTGTCCTTGGGTATGGCGGCAAGGACAAGATTTTCTTCTCGTCCGACCGCCGGGTGGTACTTGGCCTCATTGAGAAAGCCGCCGGCCGCGTTGGCGTCCGGCTTACCTCGCGCGGGGCGCTCACGGTCGAGAGCGTCAAGGAGCACCGGCGTCGGTTTGGCGACGACGGCGGCGAACTCATGGGCGAGTTCTCCGTTCAAAAGTACTCTCCACGCTACGAGGTCGCCCGCTTTGTTTCGTGTTGAAGGATCTCAATCGACCATGTAGGCGCCTGTTCGCCGCATCCTGCGCGTGCATACCAAGGTGGTCCTCGAGATCGATGGCACTGACGTCGTCTCGCGCACACCGCTCAAGCAGCTCTTTGGCCTTGTCCGCACAGGGGCTTCCAAGTCGCGCTTTGAAGTTGAGCTCGTCAATGGCCAGCGTCGCATGTACGCGTCACGGGACCGCGATGCGCTCCTTGCGTCCCTTGTCGACGCGTACGGCGTCCTCGCCGAGGCCAACGACGTGCTCTCGATTGCGCCGACGCCGAGCCACAGCGGCCTCCGCCTCCTCCCGCGTTTCGCGACCGAAGACCCGACCGAGACGCGCACCTTCTTTGGCGACGCATCGATCGGGTCGATGTTTCTCAAGCGACTCGCGGCGGTGGGCAAGTACACAGCGGGCACGGGCCACCGTGCCGGGGTGGCGGCCGGTCGCGGGTACAGATGGACGCCACTTCGATCCTCAGTGTTCTCATAGAACGACGTAGACTGGTCTCGATCGCGTGCGAGCTCAACGCCAACGTCCCCTTGACCGGCATCCAGTACTATACGAAGCGGTCGATCATTGCCGATGCGCTCAAGCCGCTCTCGTTCCAGCTGCGGACGGTCGCGACGTGCTCGCCGCCAGCGCCCAAGATGGCCGTCGCGCTGCTCCAGTGCTTTTGCCGCATCGCAACTTCGTACTACGGCTTCCTCGACATGCTCGGGCTGCCCCACTTTATCGAAAACATGGTGCACTTTCTCCAAGCCGAGGACGCACTCACTGTGTACTGGGCGTCGCTCCTTCTCCAGCGGCTCTCGATGCACAAGGGCGCGGGTGCGTCCGCCGTCGGCGACGACGGCATGGAGCCCATGGCGCGCGGGTCCAGCGCCGATGCCGAGATCTCCAACAAGCGGCTCATCTTTGCTGACGCCAAGCTGCTGCAATCGCTCTTGGCGCCGCTTCAACTGCGACCCAACGGTCAGTTGGCGTCGCCGCTCATGCACCTCGGCGTCCTCGGCACGCTCGAGCCGGCGCTCTGCTCACGGCGTGCGACTACCGACCCCAAGGACGTTCAAGTGCTTGTGACGGCGCTCGTACCCTTCTACGACACGCTCATCCGGTACCTTTGCTCGGTATTGAACGCGTCCGTCATACTGATGCGTTGGGTGTAGCCTCCTCTTTCGGTCGTACTGTGCCGCCACCGTCGAGGCGTGTACGCTGCTCGTGCAAACCGTCTTGGAGCTGTGTCCGATCGACGTGGCGAGCTCGATCAAAGACGCGGCGCTGCGCGAAGGGCTCGTGCTGCAGCACCTCTACCAAGCGATCTTTGATGCCGCGTTTGACCAACGCGTCGTGAGTCGGTACCTCATTTCGATGTGGATGAGCCACCACCCGCCGGCGAAGAAGCTCTTGTCGCGGCTGCTGCCCCCGGGTTTGGTCTCATGCCTCGAGATGCGCCTCTTGTCCCAAGCCGAGAGCTACCAGCTCGACGAGCTCGAGAAGGCGTCGTTTGAGCACCACAAGGTGTCGTTCTTCAACGCCGACCTCTCGCCGACGCAGAGTGCGTCTCTTGCGAGCCGCCCGGACGACGCGGACGACGACGAAGACAGCTTTGTCGCAAGCATGCGCCGGCCCAACGCGGCGTCCGACCACGCGCTGTTTGAGGAGGATGTGGCCGACACCATTGTGCTGCCGTCGTCGATGACGGCCAGTACGCGAAGCGAGCTCTTCCCGACCCGCAGTGAAGGTGCGCGGTCCAACGTGCCCGACGTCGCCTTGCCTCGGCTCGTGGGCAAGCTGCACTCGGAGCCCCGGCAGTCGCCAAATGTCTACCAAGACCCGGCGCCGCGTCGCGCGCATCGGCCAACGTCCGGCGTCGGCATGCATCTCTCGCTGCTCAAACGCGCGTTTGTGACGCGTCGGCCGTCGACTGTGCCCTCGGACGCCGCCGTGATCAAGCCGCCGGAGAACTTTCGCATCCTCTTCCACATGCTGCAGCAAGACCACGACACGGTCGACTTGCTCTGGACGGGTACGACACGCGACGAGCTCCGCGCAGCCCTTGTGCGCGAGATCCAAGTGTTTCGAGATCACCAGGCCCACGAAGCGCGCGCAGTGTGGAACTATGAGGAGTTCCGCGTGACGTACCACAGCCTCGCCTCGGCACTGGTGGTTGATGGGCTGCACTTGCGCCGGCTGGTCGCAGTCCAAGCCTCCGACGACGACAACGACAACGACGACGACGAAGAGGACACGTGGCAGCCGCCTTTGCACATGGAAGACATGTTGCTCAAGCAACCGAAGCGGTTTGTCTCGGCGCTCTACAAGCGCTTCTTGCGCGAGTACCCGTACGCCGAGTTCCGCGGGCAGTTGGTGACGACGACGACGATCCTCCATGTCCTTGCCCGCGTCGCGTGGCTCTACGAAGGCCAGTACACCTTGTGTGCCGACGACGTTCACCATGTCGTGACGCTGCTCACCGAGACGCGGCGCAAGGACATTCTTCTCGCTGGTCTGCGCGCCCTCCGAGCGATCACCAAGTGCCCGGCCCATGCCGCCAAGTTGCTCTCAAGCGAAAGTGCGATTCCATGGCTCGTGCAGCTGGCGCAGATGGCGCACGTTGCCCAACGGATCGAGCATGATGACGCGCATGCGTCGTGGTGCGTCCATCTCGGTGACGCGCCGTGCACCGGGCCACTCACGGTCGCTGGTCTTGCGGCGGCCATCGCCGACATCGACGTCAAGGCGTGTGTCTTCCATGTACACGATGGTACGAGTGATGATTGCGTCGGGCGGTGCCAGCCACTGGATGTCATTCCGCAGCTGCGCTGGGAGCTCGGCTTGGATGCGACGATCGCGACGTCGGCGGTCGCCGTTGCCCACGATGCTATTCACATTGTGTGCGACCTCTTGCATGCCAACCCGCTTCTCATTGGGACCACCAAGGTGTTTCCGACGCCGGCGGCGATGCGGCAGACGCACGAACACCTCGCAAAGCTCGTGCCACTCCTTGCGCAGTACGAGTGCCCGGGGCTCGCCGAACACGTTGGCCACATCCTCGTCACGCTCTTTGACGGCCAGCTGCCGATCGACGACGTGTACCTCAGTGGTGTCTTTTACTTGCTCTTTTGCTACAACGGGTCGGCGTTTGCGGACTTTGGCCGGTTCCTCCAGCTCGCGTACGCCAAGCAAGTGCGTCCGGACGGCACGCCCCGCGCGATTCTGCCCGAGCTCCTGCCTGCTGCGATGCTCTTGCATCTCGAGCGCCTCTCCAAGCACCAAGTGGCCGACCTCTACTGCACCAACGACATTGCAACACCCAAGGTCATTTGGAATTCGCGCATGCGGGCGACGCTCCGGGACGCGTGCGTGGCGCACGTGGCCGACTTCAAGCGCGCGTTGACGCAGCAGATCGCAAGTACGTACACGTATGCACCAATGGCGCCGGTGCGCTACGCCGATCTCGACGACGAGGTCTATGTCTTTGGCTTTTACTTGGACCAGTTTGTGCGTGCGATCGACTCGGGCGACGTCGTACCGCTCGACGACGCCAGCGCCTTTCTGCGGCAGCTCACGGTGGCGTGGCGCGCCGAAGTGGACCGCCCCGGTGCGTCCATGACGCGCGAAGAGGCCGCCGACGTCCTCGGGCTGGCGTCGCCGACGGCTGATTGGAGTGCAATTCGTGCAGCGTACAAGATCAAGGCGACGGCGACGTGCCCCGAGTACGCCTTGGACGACCGCGGGCAGTTTGACGACGTGCAGGAAGCGTTCGAGGTGCTCACGGCGCCCCGCCCGAGTCTCTTGACGCCCGGGTACGATGCCGTGCGCTTGCGCCTCATTTTGCAGACCCAGGTCCGCCTTTGCCGATTCTATTCGACGCAGCTCTACACCGGATCGGCGTTTGATCTCTTTGGCCTCCTCTTGGCCTTTTTACAAGAGCATTGTACATCGTCGGCGCGCGTGCCGAGCCTGACGACGCCGCGCGAGCACGATGAGCTCGTGCGCTTGGCCGCCGAACTCCTCCTCGAGTCGTGTGTCGTGCTGCCGGCGGCCAACGGCGCGGCGCTGCTGGCCGAAGCCAAGCGCGACGTCCTCGAGGACGTGCTCACGCACTGCGTCGACCATTTGTGTGTTGCGAGCAGCGACGTCGATGCGTCGCTGTACGCCGAAGTCGCCAGCCACGTTGTGCAAACGATGGCCATGCTCGTGACGACGCCGGCGGGGCGCGACTGGGTACTAGCGAGCGACAGCCTGTTGCGCGACCTCTGGCGTCTTCTCTGGCTCTTCCAGCTGCGCCTCGACGACAGCAGTGCGGGCTACCTCTACCGCAGTGTACGCTACGCGCTGGAAGCGATCATGGCCATGACCGAATCCCGTCCACTCCAGGACAAGCTCGTGACATCCACAGGCATTCTCTGGCATTTGCTGCAGCTGCTCTTTGCGTACGACCCGTCGCTCGACGTGTCGACGTCGCAGATTGTCGTCCAGAACACCATCTTGTTTGACCGCCACGCGCCGCCGTCCTCGATTGTCGAGGTCGTGCCCGAAGCCAAGAACGTGCTCAGTGACCTGGCCCTCGGCGTGCTCGCACGGCTCTGCGGTATCTTCCAGGACGCGCCGGCGCACATGGCGGCGCTCGAGCTCTGCTCGGCGCTCTTGACGCCCAACGGCATTGCGTTTCTTCGCCGACAAAAGAACCGGCACGCGTTCTTCTGCATGTTCCACGGAGACACGACGTCGCCGCATCTTCTTTGGACGTCGGCGCTTCGAACCGAACTTGGCGCGTACTTGGCGCCAATTGTCGGCGACATCGAGTCGGTCCCGAGCCGCGACGACGGTGTCCGCTTCCGCTTTGCCGCGTTGGCGACGCACTGCGTGATTGCCAACGTCTACGTTGGTCCGCTGCTGGACGTCCTCTCGAGTGCGTTAGAGACGCCGTCGGTCGACTTGGTGCGGTCGCTTGCGTTGCCCGAGGCCTTTTACATTGCTCTCTTCAACTTTGTCGAGAGCGGCAAGCGAGATATGCCCGCGTACGTCGGGTACGGCCTCGACGACGCCGCCATCTTAGGCTACCGCGAGGTCGCGCTGCGCATTCTCGGTTTACTCGCTCCGCTCACGCCGGCCTTGGTCGAAGTCGGCGTTCTCCGCTCCAACAGCGGGCTCTCAACTGTCATGAGCTTTGTCCTGCCGCCGACGCACGCGCTGTTTGCGTCGTCGGCGCTCGATGTCGGGTTTGCCCACGTTGTCGTCCCCGTCGAGCTCTTTGACCGCTTCCGAGAGAGCACGTTGCGCCTCTTGCACGTGCTTGGCTCCAGCGAGGCGATCGGAAATGCGCTCTTCCAAGCTGACCTCGTCGTCTTGCTCTTGCATGCGATTCTCGTCGAAGACGACGTGAGTGCTGAGATGCTGCGGGTCCTCTGGCGCCTCGTGACGTCGGCGCCGTCAATCGCTCGGTTCGTGGTCGAGTCGATCTGGATGTACCACCTCTTGCTGTGGCTGTTTCCCGATGCGTCGAGCGTGACGGACCATGACTATGGCAAGGTCATGCAAGTCCCCGCGGCCGAGGTCGTGACGGCACTCGCGTCACCCAACAGCGTCGTGAGCGAAGAAGCTATGAACGTGTGCATTCGCTTTGTGCCTGTGACGCTCGTGTACGAAATCATGTCGGCGCCCGCCAACGTCGAGCGCATCGTGCAGGTAGCCGCAATGGATCAATGTTTCAAAGTGTCAAGTAGACTTTGGCGTAGGGCAAGTACGAGTCGCCCGACTTGGTGTGGAACGACACAATGCGCGCGCACCTCCGCCGCGGACTGCATCGGCTGGCGCTGCTCGTGCACCAAACCAAGGGTGGCGACGTCCACGATGAGCTTCTCGCGCTCGACATTGACTACGCCGAGGTGTACTCGTACCCGGTCGTCGGCGACGTGTACCTTCTCTTGTACCTTGAGAACCCGATCTACCCCCTGCGCGACCCCAAGTTCTTTCTCGAGTGCCTCGCCGAAGACTACGAGAAGATCGTCGGGCACTTGCTCGACGCGCCGTCGGACGCGGCCCGGTCAAGCTTCAACCCGGACCTCGTCATGCTGCGGCGGCAGCAGGCGCAAGTTCTCCCGCTTCTCACGAGCTGCATCATCTGCGTCGTCCGCGTCTTCCCCGTGCTCATCGAGACGCTGCTCTCGCTCAAGATGCACGAGAAGGCGTGCGGCCTCTTTGTGAGTTATCAAAGCCACCACAAGGAGTCGCGCGACGACGAGATCCTCGTCTGCGAACAGAGTTTGCTGCGGCTCTTCCGGGTCCTCTTCACCTCGCCCAAAGTGGTGGCCACGCTCGCGTACTCGCCGTTCAACATTCTGAGCCGGCTCTTTGCCCACGTGTACCTGCGGCGGCAAGGCGAGTACCACGCCGAGGCAGGGTTCCTCCTCGAGTGCGTTCGCCGCTTTGTGCGCAACTTTCCGGACAACGGCGACCGCAACTCGGACCGCAATGTCGTGTCGATTGTGTGCAGCTTCAACCTCCTCGAGTCGCTCCTCGAGCTCATTGAGCACCCGATGACGCTCCAGCGCGTGCTCAACCCGATTCTGACGCGCGCCACGATCGTCGCGATCCTCGTCGACCTCGAGAACCACAAGACGCAGGGCACTGTAGCCCATGGCATCCTCAAGAAGAGCAAGAAATGGGACAAGATCTACCGGCACGAGCCGACCGACGCCGTGTGGAACCAGCCCGAAGACAAGTTTTTGACAGGGCCGGCCGCGTCGGCCGATGGCATGATCCGGCAGTACCTTGCGCAAAAAACGCCAAGTGTCTCGACCAACACGGGGCCTGTGCCGCCGGCGCCCTCGTCGGGGAAGCGCAAGCTCAACGTCAAGGGGTTCTTCGGCCACTAAGCTCACGAACCGAATATATGTGCATTGATCGCATGCCTGGTGTTCCTCAAGGCATCGTACTCGGTCCGTTGACAAGGTCGCCAGCGAAACGGTCTAGCGCACTCAAGGGCTAGGGTCTCCACCTATCCTCGAACATTGCTCTTCTATTTCGCACACCTACGCGGTCGAGGGACGACACGTCGGTGCCGGCAGTACCGAGCGGCGCTGTCATGTCGATGAACTCGGATACGAGGTCACGCCAAGACGGGTGTATTTGCATTAGCCGCTTGGTTTACTGAAGGCGCTGGTACTCGCCGTGGTCCTTGTTGTCCTTGTAGCGCTTGTAGCAGCGGTACAAAATGTAGAGCAGGATGAGCAGCAAGAAGAGGAGGCAGCCAAGCAAAATGATGCGGTCGAGGTCGTCGACCGAGACCGTATCGAGCCACGACCCGTTCGAGGTCACTTCGACATGGAACGCGTTGGGCGCATGGGACGTGGGCCATACGACCGAGGTTTCGTTGAGCTTGTTGGCGTCGACGTCCTTGATCTCGTAATAGTGCTTCTTGTACGCGGGGTACTTGATGGGCGTCGAGTTGAAGTACAGCACGTTGCCGGGCCCGCGGACATCGGTCGTGATCGAGTTGCTCGACTGCACGATCGCGTCGCCGCGGCCCGAGTAGTCGATCTTGACGTTCGTGTCGACGCAGAGGAGGCGGCTCGACTCGACGTTGCCGACGCCGCTGATCTCGACTTGCTGCTTCTGGCACACGCCGGCGCCGCTTGCATACACGACGCTGCCCGAGCCGTCGACGCTCGAGTAGACATTCTCCACCGTCAGCGACGTCGAGTAAATGTGAATATCGCCGTAGCCATACGCGCGGCTCGTCACGTTGGTGATCGACGCGGTCTTCAAGAACGCGAAGATCGAGCCGTCGCCGTTGCTCGTGAGCGAGACCGACGTTGCCGTCGTCAGCGTCGGCCCGAGAAGCTGCACCGAGCCAACATCGGTGGCCGCCACGGTCACCGAGGTGGCGTTGGTCACGTTGGCCAAGTCAATGTAGAGATCGCCGGTTGCTGTCGACAACGAGAGCGGGCGCTTGGATGCGAGGACGCCAGCCTCGACGAACGCCTCGGCCGACCCGTGCATCGCGATGCGCTCGAGCGGCGACTGCACGTAGATCTCGACGAGCACGTCGCCGTCGTTGTGGATGCCGGACGCGTTAAAGTCGACAAAAATCGTCGAGTTGTCGACCGTCAGCGTGAACTGGTCGATGAGCGTTTGGGACGCGTCGGACGAGGCGTTGGCGCCGATCGAGCCGGAAATCTCGACGACCGCCGTGATGTACTCGTACTTGGGCTTGCGGTTCTCCGCGCTCAGGCTGAGCCAGCGGGTCCAGCTCGACACAAACACGCGACCCGGCACGTTGGTTTCGATCGCAATCAGATTGTCTTCTTCAATGTTCCACTTGCGGTGCGCGCCCGACGCGAGGGCTGTCGCCTGCGTCGCCGACTGCGTCACGGGCAGCACGACGACGGTCGGCGACGCGGTGGTCGGTGACGACTGCGTCACGGGCAGCACGACGACGGTCGGCGACGCGGTGGTCGGTGACGCGGTGGTCGTGGCGTCACCACCCGAGGCGCCCACACTGACCTCCTTGGCGATAACGACCTCCGTCGTCGGCGGCGCCGTCGTCACGAGCTTGACTTCGGCCGCGTTGGCGCTGTGCGGCGGCAGCGGCTGCGCCGTCGGGATCGGCGACGGCGACGGCGCAATGCACGTGTACTTGGCGGCTTCAAAGACGCAGCCGAGGACGTTGGTCGAGTTGTTGATGATGGCGCAGCACGTGGGCTTGATGATGAGGCGGTCGCCCTTGGACGACACCTGCCCTTCGGCCGGGCACGCGGTCTTGGTCGGCGGTTTGTCGCTGCGGTAGATGCCCGAGCAGGGATGCTCGGTGATGCAGTAGCTCGCGCCGCTGTTGAGAAGCGAGACCTCGTTGAGGCCGTCCGGGCAGTTGGAATCGGGCGCGAGGGCGGCGACCGCGACCGCGAGCGCGAAGAGCACACCCGAGCGCATGTCGTCGTCAGGTGATAGGAGCAAAAAGACGCCGAATGACTGCGTGATTGACAATCTTGCAGCAGCTGGATACCCACGTATTAGTGTAGTGTCGCAGCACACTATTTCCGATGCTATCTTGGTCGACGTCGCGCAGGCATTATTGACCACGGTCTATGATGGACGCGTGCAAGGCCAGCATCGCGGTTGCTTTGCTATTACCGTGTGCAGAAAGAGCGTGCGATTGAGAGCAAAGAGCCCAACGCAGCGGTGGCGGAAGAGGATACGTCGTATCGTGAAAAGGCGGCGCACGGCCGGCTGGATCCATCGATGGCCGCTGCAATTGACGACGCTTTGCATGTACGCAGCACCATCATGATGTTCATGCAATGCCACTAGCTACTCGCATGGGTATGCCTCCAGCCCATGCCCCAGCGTACGCCTGGTCGTCGCATCATGCGGGCTGCCACGTGCAATGTCCACGAGCGTCCTGAGCCGTCAAGAACACCGTTATTGATGCTGCTCAACCGTGCTCGTGTTGGATTGCGCGACAGAATGGGTTCACATCGCGCTACACCAGGGTGAAGGGTCTTGTGCAGCGCTCGCAAGGGGCCGTGGCCGATCGCCAAACACTATTCCTGCATATAAATGCACACCAATTCCATGGTCCCGAGGCCTGGAGCGTACCACAAGTAGTGTAATGGTATCCGGCATCGTCCGGATAACGTCGGTATTCGGTGGTTGGAGGCCATTTCGCAGGACCTTCCGAGCAGCATGAGCGGTCGCATCAGCAACATGGGGCGCATCGCGTACCACGTCGTGGACGCCAAGGGCCAAGTGGTCGGGCGGCTGGCGTCGCAGCTGGCGCCGATCCTGCGCGGCAAGCACAAACCGACGTACGCGCCCAACGTCGACTGCGGCGACGTCGTCGTCGTCCTCAACGCCAAGGACATTGTGCTCACGGGCAACAAGTGGGACGACAAGCTCTACCGGTGGCACACGGGCTTCCCCGGCGGCCTCAAGACGCGCACGGCCAAGCAGATCAAGGAGAAGGACGAAGGCGACGTGCTCCGGAAGGCCGTCATGGGCATGCTCCCGAAGAACAAGATGCGCGCGCTGCAGATCGCCAAGCTCAAGATCTTTGCCGGCGACGAGCACACGTTCCAGGCGGAATTGGGCGAGAACCCCAAGTTCCTCTAAATTTAATAGGCCCTAGCACGGACGAACCGGCGACAATAGATAGACGTGTTTGCCGTCGTGTGCACCAGCCTCTCCGACGTCGAAATATGGCAATCCCAAGCATCACACGCGCTGCGTCCCTGCGCTCAGCCACGCTATCATGACGCTTGGGAGCATGCAGTCGTCAGCGGCCCGTGGTGTGCCAGTATCGGCGCCGGTCGACGGTGAAAGCAAGGAGGAAGAAGCTTAAATTACGGGTTACGAGCAGTACGATCGCTAGGCTGTCGCGTGGTGCTGCTCTAACTGGGCTGCAAAAATCAAAAATACAACGCGTCGTCGTCGTCGTTAGCGGCCGCTGTTCGGGGCTTGCGCGAGCGAGCTGAGAAAGCCCGCGACCTCAAGGACATCGCCCGTCTCGGACGTGGGCTTGGAGGCAAAGTAGGCGTTGGCGTGGTTGCGCACCTGCTCCTTCGACTTGGTCTTGACGTGCTCTTGCACCTTCTTCCACTTGCGCCCATAGCGCTTGAGGCCGTCGACAAAGAGGTCGTGCTCCTCCGACGTCCACTTGGCGCGCTTGGCGTCCTTGTTGCTCGGCGCAATGGAAAAGTCAAACGAGGCTTGCTGCCCCGCGGGCGTCGTCAGCGACTCGCCTCGGCCATGGTAGCGTTGCAGCTCTTCGCAGCTAATCATGGCCAGCGCATCGACGCCGGCGAATCCGTCTCCGCTGGGGGTCTTGCGCTTCTTGTTCTTGGGCGCCAGCGCTAAAATACGATAAGAGATCGATCGACAACAGGCGAGAAGGATGGCTACCGGCGGGACGGGAGGAGCGCTTGGACGCCTTCGCAGCTGCCTCGTCGGCCGACGACGAGGGGAGCCGCGTGGTCGTCACGCCGTGTTTGGCCTGAAAAGCCATGATTTGCTGGGACGCAAAGGTCTCGTGCATCTTGCGCTTGGCCAAGTTTTCTTGCTTGCGCCGCGTCATGTCGAGGATGCGCTTGCGCAAAAGAAGCTTGATGTCGGCGTCCGAGAGGTCCTTGATGCGGTTCTCATACGGGTTGCCCGAGAGACCCGTCTTGTACACTTGGGGCGGAATGCTAGTTGTATAGTAGCGGTTGCTTGGCGACACGTCGCGCAACTCGAACGGCAAGCTCGTGGCTTCGTTCGACATTGCGGTCTCCTTGACATCGACGCCTGGCGACGAGGCCTACGTAGCGCATGGGCGAGGCGTCGTAGGCGGAGTGGGCGTACCGTGGCATTGCCGTTGCCCACGAGGCTGTTTTCCTTCGCATGGTTGCAGTCGCCGACCGCCGGTTGCTGGAGCTTCTCGGCCAAGAGCGACGCACACACAGAGCTCTTCATGGTCTCGATAGAGCGCAGGTCCTTGCCGCTCATCATGGACTTGTAGTACGCGGTGGCATATTCGTACACTTCCTGCACACTCTTCGAGTCGATGGCCCGCGAGATCCGGTTCCAGTCCGAGCCAAACTTGGCGAGCGCATCGGCGAACTTGACGCGCTCGTCGTCGCTCCATCCATGGTGCTCCATGATCATCATGCTGCGGCTAGTCGTCGTCTAGCTGTACAGACCGCGGTACCGGCAAAGTCCCGACTGCCACGGTTTCCAGAACCGCGGCCCCAATTCGAAATTATTAAAAACTACAATCGTATTTTTTACCGATTCACAACGTATACTGTATATTTGTATGACGAATAAGACATGTGAATTTAAATAAGCTCTTTTTCTTTTTTCGACCACCCGCCACCTGGATTGGCCAGTTCGAGTACGGAGCCCTACCCCTATCGTAACGCCGGCCGCCCTCAACCTTTTTTGACTCGGTCTTTGTATGCCCTTGGATAAGACAGCTTTTTGACCAATCGCAAGGCGCCAATTAACGTTTTGCGATCCTGGGTCCCACAGTAGCCGACAGAGAAGGAGATCTTCCGACGATCGCAAGTGCAGAGCCGAGGTCGTGCGTCAGGCAACGATCGTCGTCGAGAAGGGCCGCCGTGATTGCTGCCTCCGCATGGATGGCTCGGTTCGGTTGCAGTGCGGTTGCGTGCGGTTGGGCGGTTGGCGGGAACGCGTCGCGCCTGTCGATGGATTTCAGCCAATCCGCAACGTTGTTATCACATACACGATATGGATTGGCTGAAAAAGATACGCGCTGCGGATTGGCGCAAAAGAATATCCCGCCATCATGCTCTGCGTCGGCAGTTGCTGACGGCGGCCCGCATCGACACCTCGGCATCATCCATTCGGTTTGCACCACATGCGTGTTGGGTTTAACCTTAGTCCACGTTGAACGCGAGGGGTTGAATGGGTTGAAGGCTGTTTAAACGGATAAAACGCTCCTGGTTTTGAAAACGACGTAAAAAACACACGCCGTTCAAAACCCGTACCGCCGTACACGTACATTGCTTTTCATTGATCGTACGTACGCTTACTCTCTGTAGTTGTATGGAGGTACTGTGGCGAACGTACGATGTATGGGAAAGAGCGAAGTGAGGGACTGGCTGTTGAAAACAGGTCGCAGTTTTTTTCGCGATTCCAACAGGCGAGCACGAGCAGCATGCCCCGACCGGCAAGCAACGTTTGGATCCACTTCCGGCGCGATGAAGTCGGGAAGCGGGCCATCTGCAAGTACTGCCACCACAACATGGTGAGCCTCGTCACGCGCATGCGCCACCACCTCGCCAAGCGCTGCACGGACGTCCCGCCCTCGATCCGCGCCGACATCATCTCGGGCGAGGAGGCGCTCGGCGCCGCCAAGCAAGCCTCGGCCATGGGCCTGCACGCGGCCGACGCGCTGAGCCTCCACAATGCGCAGTTTGCAAACATGACGACGCAGTACAAGCCGGCCATGATGAAGCGCGATGCGCCGCCGGCGCTCTCGGACGCGAAGAACAAGAAGCCGCGCAAGGCGCTGCCGCCCGCAAGCAACCCGGCGCTCGAGCGCCACGACATGCAAAGCTATTTGGCCAAAGCGATTTTTGGTGCTGGCTTGCCGGTCTCGGTCATTGACCACCCGTGCTTTACGGGCCTCATGAAGCGCATGTACCCGCTGTACCAGAGCCCGGGCAATGCGGTCTTGACAACGACGCTCCTCGACAACGAATTCCATGCCATGTCGTCGCAGGTGCGCGCTGACGTGGCCGAGACCGCCTTTCTCTGCCTCGGTGTCGAGAGCTGGTCGTTTGCGAGCAACCGGTCGGTCATCTCGTACTCGGTGCACTCCCCGAATCCGGCCGTGTACGCGATTGAAAACACGCGCGAAGCTCCCCACGTACCCATGATGCTTCTCGAGCACATGGAGGCTACGATCAACGCGATTGGCATCGAGAAGGTCGCCACGATCGTCGCCGACACGAGCGTCAACATGAAGCAAGCGTGTGACATGCTGCACGCAAAGTTCACACACCTCACAATCCTGCCATCGTGCGCCCACGCCATGGAGGCGCTCGTCGCCGAAGTGCTCTCGCTGCCCACCTTCCAGCCGCTGCTACGGGTCTGTACGACGGTAGCCACCTTTATCACGTCCAACCACGTGCCCCGTGCGAGCTTCACCCGCGTCGCCTCCGACATGCACCTCGACTCGTTTGGCCTGGTCACCGCCGGCGCCGACCCGGCCTCGCTCCTCGCGTGTGTCTACAGCATTGAGAAGCACCGCCACATCTTCGAGATGCTCCTCGGCGAAGACCTCGGCGCGCTCGACGGGTTGGAAGAGACGGTCAAGGAGAAGCTACTCACGCTCTCGTGGTGGGCCCAGCTGGCGCAGTTCAAGGGCCTCCTCTCGCCGTTCGTCGACGTACTTGCGGTCTTTGACGACGACTACCCGTCGCTGAGCACGTTCTACCACGCGTTCACGCTGCTCTGGACGCATCTGCAGACGCACCCGTCCGTGCCGCTGGACGTGACGCGCGTCGTCAACAAGCACTGGCACGCAATGCGCCATCCTGCCATGTACACGGCGTACTTGCTTGACCCGCGCTTCCCGCCCTCGTCGCTCGGCAACGACGAGACGAACGAAGCATTTGCGTTCCTCAAGCAGCTCTCGTCGCCAGCGATGTTTTCGAGCTTGATCTCGGAGCTCACGCGCTACACGGGCCGCGTCGGCGTCTTTGCCGACGATGCGGTGTGGGCGTCGGCCAAAGAGTGCTCGCCATTGCACTGGTGGAAGGGCTTCATCGGGAGTTCGTGCCCGAACCTCCAAGCCATTGCGATCCGCGTGCTCTGCTTTCCGGCCACGTCGGGCATTACGCACGAGAAGCGCGTCGTTTTGGACCGCATCCACATGCAGAACCGGCACTTGATGAACGAGGAGCAAGCGTGCAAGGCGGCGTTTGTCTACCTCAACTCGAACGTCGGCGCGCGCCCGGTCGGCGACACAATCTTTTTGTAGTTTCTAGTAACCTGTTTATACACGCCATTGCAATAATCTTATCGTAGTACTAGGTAGTGTGGACCGAAGATGAAGTCTGACGGCAAAGATGGCCATGTGCTATGGCACACGTCGGGTTGTGCTCGATCTCAAGATTTGTCCTCCCGCTCGGGCTGTAGAGAATGCGCCGTACGCTCTGTCGGTAACTACACCACTGGGCGACGATGCCGCGCTCTAAATACTAGGCTACTTGTCCAGAAACGCTAATGACAATTCAACTTTACTAGTGCATACTAGGGAATGCTGGACATGGTATGGTGTTGGTGGCGAATCGCGATCCGCCTCTGGTTTATGCAGCGCTCTTTTGGCAGCGTCAACTCTACTTGCTGGCAGCAAGGCAACATGGCGACCACTGCACTGCTCCCGTACGAGTGCGACTGCACATGATCGCGTAATTTCTTTCGCAGTTTGAGTTTGGCTGGAGTGGGTTCGGGTGATGCCATCGTGCGACGACACGCTGCCACGTCATGGACCGGGAGTTACAGCGTTGTAAGTTTTTTGTTTATTGTGGAGTCTTGAGATGATACCGCCGTGTAGTGTACGGTACGAAGAGACGCTCGCCGAGATCGCGCGTCTCGACGTGCAGCTCCAGACGCTCGAGACGTGTTCGCACAACAAGCTCGGCGAGTTTGCGCGGCCGCTCACCATCAAAATGGCTGGCGCATGGCGCGTCGACACGTCGACTCTATCGCCGACGCACGTATCGATTGGCCACCTCTACGACGCGTCGGGCATGACGCTCTACGAGCGCTTCTTGCGCGCGCACATGCGGCTCGTGGCCCTGAGCGCGCTCGTGTACGGCACCGAATCTGTCGCCGTCGTGCGCGCGACGCTCGCACTCGCGACGAGCTACCTCCGCGCCGGTCTCTGGAAACAGTGCGCCGAGCACGCGCAGGCCGCCGACGCCTTGCTGCAGCGCCTCGCGCCGCAAGCATCGCAGCCGACCGAGAGTATCTCGACGCGTCAGATGGACGGCCAACTCCAAGCGGCCTTTGCGCTCTTCCGCGCCCTCGACGTCAATGGCGACGGCGTTGTCTCGCGTCACGAGCTGCTGACGGCGCTTGCGACCAATGATTTCTTCACGCGGCTCCGGGCCAAAGCGCACACGCTGCCGAATGCCTTTGGCGCGCTGCTCGACCCGACACAGCTCGATGCTGTCTTTAGCGCGGTCGATGCCGACAACAGCGGCTCGATCCAGTGGCGCGAAGTCGTTCGGTACACGCCTTGACGATCGCCCATGCGCTGCAGGCTTCAAGTAGGTACTTGCACGGCCACGACAAGGCGTTTCAAGGCTACTGCGCCCAGCTCGAGAGGGCCTTGCCGCCGAGCCTCGTCGCTGCGCTGCACCAAGCCTATCACGGTGTTGAGAGCGATGCGACCCGCACTCGCATCGCGGAAGCGCTCAGTCTCGAAAGTGATTGTCACACGAGCCTCGTTGCCGACTATCTCCGACACCATGAAGACGAAGACGAGAATCCTGACGAGCGCGTCGTCACGTGGCCCGAAGTCCTCGAGATCGCGTGTCGATCTCAGCGCGCTTCCATGTTTACGGGCTTGCGACCTCGCATCGCGCTACTTCTCGGCCGGTACGACCTAGCTCCAACAGATCGCGAATCCAAAATCGGACTAGATGCCACATGAAGCGCGGCCAAATCGAGGATGCGACGGCCTGTCTTCGAAAGGCTGTGGACGAAGCCCAGGCGACGCTCGGTCCCGAGCACCATAGCATGGTGGAATACTATGTCGCCCTTGCTGACGTCCTCGTCCTTCGACACACGCAGGCGCTGCAGGTCGCCAAAGACTTGGCCGCCACCCGCTTTGACAAGTGGCTCTCCACGCCCGAAGGCGCACAGCGCATCCGCACCGAGGCCATCAAGCTGCTCAACGACGCCAACGAGGCCAAACAAAAGCTACCGACCAAGCGCGACGCCGAGGCGGAGGCCCGACGGTACCTCCAATCGCTCCACGATCGGCGCGAGGCCCAGCGCAAACCGGACTCGACACCGTTTCTCGACGAAGCCACAGAGCTGTGCACCAAGGTGTGGTCCATGGAACAGACCCAGTACGTCCATATGCACTCTACCAACACCACGCACCGTCGTTAGATATGGCAACGAGCACGTCCACGCGGCGATTGCATTGGCGGGGCTCGGGAACGTCTACATTGTCCGCGACGACCCGACGACCGCCGTGACGTACTTTTCCCAAGCGATCGCAGCGTTCGAAGCCGCTTGCCACGGCAGTGTCCCCGCCGCCGCCTTTCTGCGCATGCATGTCGCCAAGGTCTACGTCCACATGAAGAAGAGCGCCGAGGCTGTGGACCTTCTTCAAGAAGCGGCGACCTTCTTCACATCGCACGCCGCCAAGTTTCTGGATGCCGACACAACGCGGCGCGACTGCGCGGCCAACGCCATTGATGCGTGGCAGGGCTGGCTCGACCTTGCAGCGTACGAGAGCCCCGAAGTTGTCCACGGTGTCTACCTAGGCATTGTGGAGGCCGCCACGATCGGGTACGGCGAGTTCAGCCTCGAAGTCGCCGACGCACAGATGAATTTGGGCCACTACTTGCTCAAGCAGCGCCGGGAGCTGCATGGCGATGGCGAAGTCGCGCTCGAGGCGGCGTGTTACATTCTCGAGGTTCACCACGGCCTCCACGACAAGCGTGTCCGGCGGCTCAAGCAAGAAGTACACGCAGCCGCGGCCAAGCGCAAGCACGGCGACGACTCGCCCGAGTCGCACGACACGTCGTGGCTCTTGTAGAAAAAAGAAGTAGCGTTCGTATTGTACGTGCTTGGGAACATGACACGCGCGAGTATACGAGTTTGGCGTTGACGGGATCCACGGCGTCCAGAACTGAGCGCGACAACGGCCGCCACAAGTGACCTTGAGGCGCTTGAGATCATAAAGGAGCCGTGTTCTTGTCCATGCGTCAAGTAGAGCGTTGCCGACGACCACACCGCGTCACACTCGGGACACTTCGCCATACGCGAGCGACAACACCCGGAACGATGTACACGCGCTTGCCTCGCCCATCACCGTACAAGGTAGTCGATATCACCTTGCTCTTGGCAGCGCTACGGCAGAACGACAAGGAAGTGAAATCTCATCGCTGCTGCTATGCTAACGTTACTCGCTCGCAATACGTGGCACGCTGCCCGGACGTCCGCATACCACTCGAATTTTAGCTCAAGATTTTCGAAACCGGCAAGCCCGGTGGTTTCCAAACGCCAGTGACCGTCGAGTGCTGCAGGACGCACGCCAGTAGCATGACGGCCCATACGCAAGGCTCTCGCCTCGACCGCCGTCTCTCGCTGCGCGCCCGCAACGACTTCCCCGACAACCGCGTGCGCACGTCCAAGTACACGCTCGCGTCGTTCCTTCCGCTCAACCTCCTCGAGCAGTTCCGGCGCGTCGCCAACGTCTACTTTCTCCTGATCTCGCTCCTCCAGCTCTGCACGCCATACTCGCCGACGAACCCGTATGCGACGCTCGCGCCCTTCCTGCTCGTGCTGCTCGTGACCATGGTCAAGGAAGGCGTCGAGGACAAGGCCCGGCACGATGCCGACGCGCTCGTCAACACGAGTCGCACGCTGCGCCTCGGCGACGACGATACGTTTGCACCAGTGCTCTGGCGCGACGTGCGTGTCGGCGACATGCTCATGGTACGCATTAACGAGGTGTTTCCAGCGGATCTATTGCTCTTGGCGTCGAGCCACGACGACCGCGAAGCGTACATTGACACGAGCAACCTCGACGGCGAGTCGACGGCCAAGGTCCGGCATGTGCCGCACATGAATGCGAGTGTCTTGCAGGACGTCAATGCGTATGGGAAAGCGGTCATGGCCGACGTGCGCTGCCACCCGCCGACGCCAGCCTTGTCTCGATTCGACGGCGTCTTGCAGCTGCGTGCAAACGACGTGGCCGAAGATATCCCATTCACGAGCCATCATGTGTGTCTCCGCGCGACGCGCTTGGTCAACACCGCCCACGTTGTCGGCGCCGTCCTCGCGACGGGCCATGACACCAAGCTCATGCAAAACCATCGCACAATGCTCCGGAAACGCAGCCACCTCGACGTCCTTGCCAACAAGTGTGTGCTCGTGGTGTTCCTCCTTCTCTTGCTCCTCAACACGATCAGCGCGATCAAAGGGTACTTTTGGCAGGCGAATGCCATGCCGCCGTATTTGCACTTGGACGGACCACCGTCGGCGACGACCTTTGCGACGCTTTGGGTGACGTACCTTATCCTGTACAACAACATGGTATGTTGCCGAGATGCAAAAGTAGACAGGTTGAGTACATGCTCATTCGTAGGTACCGATTTCGCTCTACATTAGCCTTGAAATCGTCAAGTGGTATCAAGCCAAACACATGGAGCAGGACGCGGCCATGGTACGTCTGCTTCCGTGTCGTATCGTGCACAAGGGAGGAATGGAACGTAGACGTGTCCACGGACGGGCCAAGGCCTGCTCGCACGCACGTCCAATCTCAACGAAGACCTCGGGCGAGTGCACTATATCTTTACCGACAAGACGGGCACACTCACCAAGAACGAGATGGTACTGCGGAAGCTCAGTGTCAGCGGCCAAATCGTCGACTGCCAGGTACAGGACAAGTGCCAACTTTGAAACATATGTTTTGCTTGGTGTAGGGTACCGGCAAGCGAGGCGGCGCGATCGACCCGAACCGGCTCGTCGAACTCGCCTTGCTGCAGCGTCACCAGCATGGCACGTTGATTCGCGAGTTCTTTCGTTGCCTTTTGCTGTGCCACAGCGCTCGCATTGGCAGCGACGGCACCGTGTCGGCCACGTCACCGGACGAAGTTGCGCTGCTCGCCGCCGCCAGCGACTTTGACTGCGCGTTTGACGGCGTTTCGAGCAACCGCATCCAGATCGTCCTCTTTGGACAGCAAGAAACCTACACGCTCCTTGCTTGCAACGCGTTTGATAGTTTGCGCAAGTGCATGTCGGTGCTCGTACAGCGCGACTCGACCGGTACGCGTCTCGGATCGCGTCCTGGAACTAGATGCTTTCTTAGACGAGTATTGGCTCTACTGCAAGGGCGCGGACAACGCGCTCCTCCACCCGAGCAACGCAACCCGGGCTCGCCAAGACGTCGAGACGCACATTCGGTCGTTTGCATGCCTCGGCCTCCGAACGCTTGTGTTTGGCCGACAGCAACTCGACGCAAAAGCAGCCAGGGCGTGGCTCGATGCCTACGCCGTCGCCCAGGTGGCGGTTCATGACCGCGAACACAGCTTGCACGTGCTTGCGACGACGATCGAAGCGAGCGAGCGCATGGAAATCCTCGGCGGTTCGGGGGTCGAAGACAAACTACAGGACGGCGTCTACGCAGCCACATCGCTACTGACCAAAGCCGGCATTCGTGTGTGGATGCTCACCGGCGACAAGGACGAGACTGCGGTTGCCCTTGCCCACGCCGCAGGTCTTCTTTCGACCAAGTCCCTTGTGCTGCCGCTCTGTGACGGCGCCGACCAAATCGCCGTGCATCGTAAACAGCTCAAGCGCGACGGCCTCTGGCACCCCGGCACTGTCAACCCCGCGCTGTCGGTGCTGCTGGGCGGTGCGTCACTCGACCAGCTCCTCACGGTGCACTGCCTCCAGCAACCCACACGCACCAACCAAATTGCACCGCTCACGGCCCACGCCTCTCAACTCTTTGAGCTCCTAAGCCAGTGCCAGACCGTCGTCGCGTCCCGACTCTCGCCGCTCCAAAAAGCTAACCTTGTCCGCTTTGTAAAAGCCCACAGCCACGACGAGTGCATCACGCTTGCGATCGGCGACGGTGGCAACGACGTGTCCATGATCCAAGAAGCACATGTTGGTGTCGGGATCTTTGGCGTCGAAGGTACGCCGACTATACGCTAGAATGATGCAATGTTGGGGTTAGGGTTGCAGGCGGTGCGGTCGGCGGACTTTGGCCTGGCCCAATTTCGATTCCTCAGCACGCTGCTGCTATTGCATGGCCGATGGAACTGCCGCCGAATCACGCTCCTCATCTTGCTGACGTTCTACAAGAACACGCTGTTGGTGGCGACCTTTTTCCTCTACTCGTTTCTGACGGGGTTTTCCGGTCAAACGCCGTTCGACTCGTACTTGCTCGTGGGCTGGAACGTGCTCTACACGTGCCTCCCGCTGTTTGTGATTGGGATTCTCGACAAGGACCTCTGCGGCCCGACGCTGCATCTGCACCCTCGCATTTACCTCGACGAGCCAGATTCGTCCACTCTGAATCTCAAAACGCTCTTGCTCTGGATGGTCTCGGCCGTGCTTGAGGCCCTTGCCAACGTCGTGTTCATTTCGTGGTCGCTCGGGTATTCTGGCGCGAGCTTGGCGCTTCTTGGCACCGTCTTGTACGCCTCGTCGGTGCTCATCGTGCTCGTGAAAGCTGCTGCGTGCATGCAGCGGCTGCAGCGGTGGCGACACTGGCACATACTCTCGCTCGTGCTGAGCGCCGCCTGCCTCGTCTTGTTCATTGCCGTCTACGAAGAGCTGTACGCGGTTGTCGGTACCACGAGCGCGCTGCGCGACTTCTACCACCTCTTTTACAAAGCCGAGACGGGCTTGGTCGCGCTCGCGCTGGTCCTTGCGTCGACGGGTAGCCTTGTGCTGCAAGCCGCATGGTACAGCTTTCAGCGGCTGTACTGGTACTCGAACCGCGATGTTCTCGCTGAAGTCGACGCGGGCCTCACGGTGGCTGCGTCGTCGCGGCCCCGGGCCACCGTCGGGTACATCTCGAACGAAAAAAAGTCATCGGCGTGCACCAAGCACCTCTCGACCGACTTCAAGGCGTGGGTTGACACGTTTCGATCGCCCGATATGACGTCCGACTGCGACGTCCTCATCTCGCAGCTCCGCGGGTGCCGGCTCCAAACCCAGCACAACGAAGTCGACGAAGACACGACAGCTGTCGTCGATAACGTTGATGTGACGCTCCACCCGTTCTCGCTGGCCTTTCTTGGCAAGCGCAGCGCCGTCCTCGAGGCCGAGTACGCGTCGGCGTTTCGGTCCCGCGAGGTCGTGCGCATTCGGCGGGTCGTCGCGCTCGCCGCATTTCTCTTCCTTCTCAACGTTCTCGTGCAGTACTTTGTCGGCAGTGCAACGAGCTTGTACGTTGGCTCGCGCATCTTGCTGCTCCTCTGTGCGCTCGCCTACACGCGGTTTGCTTCGTCGCGATGGTTCCTTGCCCACTATGATCTCTGCGTGATCCTGCCCATGGCCGGCACCGGGCTCTTCATCTCGGCGACGATTACCGACCAAGGCTACGTCTCGTCGACGCTCTTTCCCATTGCGCTGTTTGCAGTGTTTCGCGTCCGGTTCACGTACGCGCTGTCGCTCGCGATCGCGAATTACCTGGTCTACGTCTTGTTTGCGATCTCGCTGCCGTCAACGTCGGCCGCTGGTCTCGGGTATTTCACCGGGTACATTGGCCTTCTCATGGCATTTGCGGCCCACGGCTGCTGGCGGGTGCAGGTCGCCATGCGCCATGATTTCCTGCAACACCGATCGCTCGCCATGGAAGAGAAACGTGCGCGCGCGATCCTCGAGCACATGCTGCCACGTCATGTCATGGCCAAACTGCAAAGTGGCGACCCAATCATCTCCGAGGCCGACGACGACGTGACCATTCTATTTTGTGACGTTGTCGACTTTACGCAGCTCATGCAACGCTACTCACCAGCGCAGGTCGTCTCGCTCCTCGACCACCTCTACTCGCTGTTTGACGAGGTATCTATCTATCTATCTATCTATCTATCTATCTATCTATCTATCTATCGATCTATCTATTCATCGATCAATCTATGTCAACGAGAACGACCATACTGACCCGTCTTGTCGAGTAGCTCTGCGCCAAGTACGGTGTTCAAAAGATGGAGACAGTCGGCAAGACGTACATGGCCTGCGCGGGGCTCCAGGAAGCGTCGGCGTCGTTTCCCGTCGCGCCTGCGATCCGGGCCGCGTGCATGGCGCGCGACATGCTGCGCCTCCTCTCCACGTGCAAGACAGCAACAGGTCACAGCATCAAGCTTCGCATTGGTCTCCACTCGGGCCGCGTTCTGAGTGGTCTTGTTGGGCGCAAGAAGCAGCAATTCTCGCTCTTTGGCGATACCGTCAACACGGCGTCGCGCATGCAGAGCACCGGGGCGCCGGGTCACATCCAGCTCTCGAGTGCGACGCACCACAAGCTCCTCAAGGACTTTGCCTTTTCGTCACCGAGCCGCGTGCTCGTCAAAGGCAAGGGCGAAATGGAGACGTTCCTCCTCGGGCCGCCGATCAGCGACCGCGCCCGGTCGTGGGCCGAGCGGCCGGGCTCTGTCGCGTCACGCAGCCACGGCCTTCGGCGCCCCGAGCCGGTGTCGAGCATCGATGCCGGCATTTACGATGAAATGGCCGCGGAATTGCACCCGTTGTGGCTCTACTTTTACGATTACGAGATGGAGGCGACGTACGCCAAGGCCACCACCGGTATGCGCGAAGAAGCCACGTCTCGCTGCCTCTATGCGCTCGGCGTCTACCTCCTCTTCTCGATCTTTCGAGACGCATCCCAAGGCGCGCTCGTGGGTGTTTACGGTCGTCTCTGGCTTCTCTTGGCACCACGGATGGTCGTCCTCATGCTCTTTGCGCTGAGTTTGCTGTTTGTGCCGTTCATGGCACAGCACGGCCTCGTGCCAACGTCGTGTCTCTGCCTTCTCGCGCTCGGGACGTTGCACGTCGTAGAGATTGCTCAGCGCGTCGCCACTGCCGATGCGTTTGCATGGCTCGCCCTCGACGTGGTCTTTGTCATGTTTGTCGTAAGCAGTGGCGGCGCGGTCCGGTACGCGTCGTCGATCGGCTTCAACGCGCTCGCGTGGGGGGGTATGGTGCCCATCACGATTGTCATGGGACTCTCGTCCGACGGCGGCTACGACACGTTGATCAACCCGGTGGTGCTCGTCTCGTTCACAGCGATCGCCAACGTTGTCGTGTGCCGCGGCCTCGACTTCTTTACGCGCCGCAAGGTGTGGCTCGAGACGCAGACCAATATTCAAACGCGGACCGCGGACCGCCTCTTGTACCAGCGGTTGCCCGAAGAAGTCGTCCAGCGCATGAAGCAAGGCGAGCTGGTTTGCGATGAATACCGCCTTGTGGGCATTCTCTACTCGGACATCAAGGGCTTCACGACACTCGCAGCGCGCACCGCCCCCGAAGACGTGATCCAGCTCCTCGACTCGCTCTTTGCCGCCTTTGACGTGCTCACAGAAAAGCACGGCGTCTTCAAGCTCCAGACGATCGGAGACGCCTACGTCATTGTCTCGGGCTTGCCCTTTATTGACATGAGTTTGACTGAAGAGAGCTTGCCACCGAGTGCGACGCCGACGCCGCACCGGCGCATGTCGGCGCGCATGCAAGCCCACCGGGTCGCACAGCAGCTCGCATCGCTGCGCCGGAACAACGTGCATCTCAAGAAGCCGTGTCTGCACGTTCATCAGCACATTCGCAACCTCTTGCACATGGCGTTCGACATGCACAAGGAAGTCGCCAAGGTATGTCTTCAATCGAGTAGACAAGTTGTCGATTTTGCAACTAGATTCGCGATCCCGTGACCAACGAGCCGCTGCAAATGCGCATTGGCGTGCATCTTGGCAACCTCATTGGCGGCGTCATTGGCGACACCACGTTACGCTACGACATGTGGGGCTTGGATGCGATGCTGGCCAACACGCTTGAAAGCAACGGAGTCCCCGGGGGCGTCGTCGTCAGCGACGCTGTCAAGCGCGTGATCGACGAAGCCGGCGACGACTTTACCTGCGCCCACTACACCACGCTCGACGGCGGAATCGATGTCTACACGGTCGCTTGCCAAGAGGCAACAGAGGGCCGCGTGCGACGGCTGTCGTCGACAAGCCCCAAAAAGGGCATGCTCACGTCGGGCGTCGGGTCACCGTCCAAGCTCCGGAAACGCTAGTCGCGCAGGGATATTGAGGAAAGATTCATTTGATGTTGTATCATCCAGCTTGGGCGTGGGGAGGATCGTGCGATCCTAATCGTCCGACCAGTCGGACGCTTCCGACATGGAGAGAGAGTCTTGCCGGTCGCGGAGGCCACGAATGTTCTAGCCATGTAGACATGAGGCATGGCATTTCGAGTATAGAAGATCGTACCGCGTCCATGGTCGCAGCCGACTAGATAGTTACAGATACAAAGTGAGTATGATGGATGCTGCGAGTCGATTTGAGGACGTACCGACTTGGGCGGGTCGGGCTGCTTGATGGGCTCCACCACGGGCTTGGGCTTGACCGGCTCGTCCTTCTTGGTTGCGTTCTTCTCTTGGATCGCCTTGATGCGCGCGAGTGCGTCATCTTTCTACGACATGTCGCAGGTGAGATATCATTTTGTAGGCGTGCATACGTCATCGCCGAAATTGGACGCCTTGTCGTCGAACCGCTCGTCGTCACTGCCGTCTTCCGACATGGCAACGGTTGGTAGCTTGCGGGTGCCAGGGTAGTCGGCCATGGGCGGCGGCGGCGGTTGCTGCTGCTGCGGCGGCGTCGGGACTTCCTGCGCTTTGAGCACCGTGACCTTTTTGAATTGGTCCCGGTCCCGCGAGTTTTCTTCCTTGTCGCCTTTGCCGCTCCATGCATTTTTGAGCCGAGTGAGACGGTCCAGCACTTCTTGTGGTACGGTGGTCGGCGCCTTGGGTGGCTCGGGGGCGCCGCTGCGCCGCTCGGTCGCATCTGCCTACGCGCACAGTGAGCTTGCTCCACGTACGAGGACGCGGAGGAACCTTCTTGAGCTTGTTGAGGCTTGCGCTACGGATCGCGTCCATAAGACTTGCCCGGGGGTTGGCCGGCTCGGGCTCGACCGGAGGTGGCGGTGGTGCATCGGGCTACACTCAACACCGTATTGGCACCAGGCTGTTGATATCACAATGTGTACCGAAGCCGGCATGTCCATCGGTGGCGGCGGCGGCGGGGCATCGTCGCCTGTCGGGGGCGGTGGCGGTGGTGGCATCGAACTGCCAATGGTTGGCTCTATTGAAAACACTCAGCACGCGTCATCACCTTTGCTGCCTTGGTATGTACCCGGTGCATCGAATTTGAGGGACGGCGGTGGCGGAGGCGGCGGCGGCGTCATGTCCGATGGCCCGAGGGCCGTGGCACCTTCCACATGCCGCTCGATCGCGGTCGGGCCGGTGGCAAATTCAGGCAGCGTCGGGAGCTCAATCATGTTTTGCATCGACGGCGCAATCGACTGGATGCCCGACGTGTCGACTTGCACGTCGGTCGTGACGAGGCCCTTGAGCGGCAAGTCTGTTGGTAGCTTCTCGGAAAAGGCGGGCATCGAGCCCGGCTTGGGGCGGTAAATGTCGGTCGGCATGTTGCTGTAGTCGATGCCGGCGCCGCGGTTGATGACCGTGTCGGGCGCGGCCGCGAGTTGCTTCTTTTGCTCTTCTTCGCCTTCAAATTCCGTACCAAAGAGGTTGTCCACGAGCACATACTACAAATATTGGACAAGTTGTCCATCACGTAGCACTGTAGAGCGTACGTTTTGGTACGGCGTCTCGCTCGAGTTGAAGAGGAGGACGCCGCCGACGGTGGGCACTTGGCCTGGGAGCGAGCCGAGCCCTTCCTACACCCAATATGCGTATCGATCGACATTAAGAAGACCAGTGCGTACCTCCTTCATAATGTCTTCGGCCTTGCGCGTCGCCTTGAAGGTGTTGACACGTTCAAACAAATCGACGACCTCGGCCATGAGCTGCGCACGCTGCCCGGCCGTCGGCGGCTCCTACGCCACTGTGTCATGCACCATCGACAATCGGATGCAACGCACGGAGGGCAGGAAGTGCGTCGCTTCGAGCTCGGCCGTCAACGGCGGTGTCTCTTCGTATGGCTTGTCGCTGTACAGCCCCTTCATCGCCGGCAGCACTGGCATACAGCATGAGCGCCACTACCCAGATGAAGAGACATACCCTTGGGCGCCGGGTATTTGGCCGTTGAAAAGACCGTCGTGGCCTTGTTGGTCGTGCCACGCTCTACGTATCGATCCTGCCATACCTGCTCGCAGCTGGCGTGGCCTACCTGTGACGGCGTTGACTTTGGCCTGGCAGGCCGCGATTCTCTACACGCCCAGCATGAGCCACAAGGCCCTGACCATGGCCACGTACAGCGTCGATCGCTTTGACGCGATCCTTCTCGGCTTGGACCTAGGCAGCGCACATGCATGAGCGGTGCTGGAGATGGTGCAGATGGGCGTACGCGCAGCGAGATGCGCTCAAAGACATCGGCGACGACAGTATCCAGGTGTATAAGCTGGCGCACGACGTCCTTGGCGACGAACGGCTTCTTGAGGTCCTCGAAGACGCGCTCGACGCAGTAGACCTGCGCGCTCTGCATCTTGTCCGTGTCTGACGCCACGACGTTGGTCGCATCCGGATACCAAAGCCGGATACGGATCGCCCCACACTGCGCTGTCTAAACACACACCTCCTTACGGTTGCTACTGTGCGAAAAACCCAGCAACACGACCTGCACTCTTGGTCACACACATTCTTGTTCTCGGCAACAAGAGTTCAACGTGCAGCGGCAAGGCTTGTATTGTCCTTATGCAAGAGATACGACTGACAGCTAGTCGTCGTCCGACCATTCGGAAGCCTCGGAAAGCGACAGCGACGAGCCGCGTGTCAAATCGGGGCACCGCAGAATCGGCACCGGATAGAGTCGCAGTGGTGATCGGCTTCTCGCGACCACGGGGCTTCGACGGTGTAGCTCCAAGCTACGACGACGGGTGCGCTAGTGAAAAGTCTGGTGAAAACGCCAGGCAAGTGGAGATACTTAGCGTACACTGCGCGTGCATTTCGGTACGCGCTTGCGAATTGCAGCGAGGAGCTCTGCGTGGGCCGCCTACAAGCAGCAAGTGAGGCATAAACGTGGCAAGGGGTCGGCGCACGGGGTGAAAGGTGGGTTGCGTGCGCTGGACAAGAAGAAAATCAAAGTCGACCACCGCCTTATCGTCATTGTCTTGGGTTCCATCGTCGTCGACCTGCGAGCATTAAATGAGCGACAATGTATGGAAATCGAGATTACCTCGTCGACAAGATCGCTCCAGTCACTCTCCACGTCGCTGTCCTCATCGTCCACGTCCTCGTCCGCACTCGCCCCGTGCACGTTGAAGCTTGTCTCTGCAGTCCAGTAATCCTAGCCATGACATATCATATCGCGTCGTCTTATGAATCTCGCTCGTACCGCGTATGTTGGCCGCGTTGGTCGAAACATTAACATTAAATCCCGAATCACGCTTTCTTGGATTGAACGTGGCGGTGGCAGGACCACCTAGAAACACCCGTATGACGCCTTGATATCCAACGCTGATGGTTACGACCTTCTTCAAGCTGTCGCGATCAAAGCGAGCGATGTCTGCGAGGAGGCCGCCTTCGGGTTGCGCGCCCGAACACATGCTTGCCGCTGGACGACTCGACGATGCGTCGCCGACCTCCTCGATGCTTCCCACATCGTACAAGATGTCCGTGGTCGCAAATGTTGTTTGCAAACGTGAACGATCCACCAAATCATTTAGCCGATCGTAGATGCTCTCTTGGATGGAGCGTTGCGGCGGCACTGCAAGCACCTAGTCGAATCGCGGGTGTGATGCTTGATGCAAGGTTGTTTGTTCGTACCTGGGCAAGGCTGCCTTGATCAAAGTCAGCAATGGCCTTGCGCAGGGCTTTAGGCATAAGATGGTACGTTGGTTCCATGTTGGCAGCTTGCGTCAAATTTGATTGTGCAGATTGCGGGATTGTGGTCGCCTGACCGTATCTTTGCGTGTCTTTTCCGGATAAAGGCAAGTTGGGTGTTTTCCGAGCGATCATGGAATACCGTTATTTTCATCTTCGCGCCAGTCTGTTGCGATGACCAAGAAGCGCAAACCCGCGCCACCGGTGGTGGATCCTGCGATGGCGCCCTGGCTCCAGCGCTTTACGCTTCTCGACAGCAGCTACTGCTTCCTCGCCAACAAGAAGGCGCTGACGTCGCTCAAGAACGTGCTCAATCTCGCCGCCCACCTCTCGGGGTCGTCCACGACGCTGCTCGAGAGCCACGTACGGCAAATGGCCTCCATTGGCGTCGTTCACGTCGTTACCAAGGCATCGGACAAGGTGATCGCCCAAGGTATTGCCCACTCATTTCACTAAATGTGCCTTATTTGCTTTTTCTTAGATGAGTTTAACCCAACCGAACCCCCCGAGACGGTTGAGATGGTCGAGTTCAAGGACGTACCCCACGCGAGCAAACGCGGGAGCACCAAACGCCTTGAACTGTTTACGGCAGCGCTCGCCGCCTTTGACGTGGCAATGAACCCTGTGCCCGAGTACACGCCACCCCCGAAGCGTGTCAAAGCAGTTCCGACCTGGGCCCATGAGGCGGCGACCGCAGAGACCGTGGATGCGTGGATCCAGGCACTGGTCACGAGCTCGTTCTACTCGGGCCAGCTCGTGCACGTCGAGCGGCTCCCGGCGCGTGCGGCGGCATACGGTCCCACGCCACTGGCTCAGATGCCATTGGCGCCGTCGCTCGTTGCGTCGCTGCACATTGAGAAGCTGTACGCCCACCAGGCCACCGGCATTGACGCGCTCTTGAACGGACACCACGTGGCGATCTCGACGTCGACGTCGAGCGGCAAGTCGATGGTTTACAACATCCCGGTCGCCAACAGTCTGTTGACCGAGGCGGTTTCCACCCACTTGTACCTCTTCCCGACCAAAGTAGGCATCTCGTCATCCATGGCACACGAGAGGAAGCTACATCGCTCTCTCTAGGCGCTCGCGCAAGACCAGATGCAGTCCCTCCGGTCGTTTCTCGTGCGCTGTGGCCTCCCGCCGTCCATTTGTGCCACCTACGTAGGTTGCAATTTGGCGAAAGACCCTAGCCCTAAGCGACACTCCAACGATAGGACGGTGACACGACGCACCCGGAACGCACGGCGATTCGCAAGTCGGCGCGTGTCTTCTTGACCAACCCAGACATGCTGCACGTCACGATCCTTCCCCAGCACAAGACGTGGGCTTCAATCCTCACAAGCCTTCGGTATGTTGCACCTTAAAAATGGCCAAAAATGAAGTTGACACGCCTGGCTAGGTACATTGTGATCGACGAAAGCCACATGTACCGCGGCCTCTTTGGCTCGCACGTGGCGTGGACTCTACGACGCCTTCGGCGGCTCTGTGCGCTGTACGGCAGCCGGCCCCAAGTCGTGTGCTGTTCGGCGTCGATCCACAACCCCGAAGAGCATTTCCGCTTTCTCGTGCCGCCCATAAACAGCGAGATGCCGGCTCGACCGCTCACGCTCGTGCCGCATTCCGCCGACGGATCGCCGAGTGGACCCAAAGCTTTTCTCATCTGGAACCCGCTCGCCCACGACGACAGCGCACCCGACGCGTCCAACAGCGCCATCTTTCAAGCCGGCCAGATCCTCTCGGTCCTCGTGCAGAAGGGAGTGCATACGATTGCATTTTGCCGCGTATCGTCTTTATCACGCCCGGAGACGGCGACAGAGGTTCATAAGCTTGTGACTAGGGCCGCAAGCTGACCGAGCTCGTCCTGGACTATACGCATACGCAGCTGCGCAAGGCCAAGCAGTTTGCATTGGTACAGCGCGTCAAGGCGTACCGCGGTGGCTACACGGCCGACGACAGGCGTGCGATCGAAGCCAACCTCTTTCGAGGCGACCTCCTCGGCGTCGTTGCCACGAATGCGCTTGAGCTTGGCATTGACATTGGGAATCTCGAATGCACCTTGCACATTGGCTTTCCGTCGTCGGTCTCGTCCTTGTGGCAGCAGGCCGGTCGCGCCGGGCGCAGCGGCAAGGTACCTTTTCGAACGCGTGAAAACCCGTCGAAAGTCAGCGGCGTAGGACTCGCTCGCGGTGCTTCTTGGCTTTAGCTCGCCGCTGGACCAATACTACCTCAAGACCAAGAAGCGTTGCGCGACGCTGTTTACAAAGGACTTTGAGTCGGCTGTGCTCGATCCGCTCAACCTCCACGTCATGGCCGCGCATCTCCAGTGCGCGAGCTTGGAAATGCACTTGTTCTCAACCAAGTGCGGTACCGAGACCATTGATCGGTACCCCTACCCCTACAAAACAACAGCGAGCATTTCTTAGATCGGTGTTTCCGCCCGAAGCCGACGCGGTGCTCGCCTCGCTCGTCGCCCGTGGTCGACTGCAGCGCCGCGACCAGTTTGGCTATCAAGTGCCGGCACTCCTTGCCGACGACGTCCGCACAACGACCAAGAACATTCGTCAAATGGGCGGTGACGACTACAGCGTAGGATCCTCGTTTCGCGCTCCGAGGAAGAAGCAGCACTCGCGGTGTAGGTGGTCGAAGGCGAGAAGGTGCTCGACACGCATCCGTCCGATAAGGTCTTCTTCACACTCTACCCGGGAGCCGTGTACCTCTTCCAAGGCCGCGAATACATCGTCACCAAGGTCGACACGGAGGCCAAGCTCGCGTTCGTCGTACGCTCAAACAAGCGACTCACTTACTACACGGCCGCGCGGGACTTTACCGATGTCAACGTCTCGCTGCCGTTCCCGCGCTCAGACCCGCCGTACCACCCAAGCGTGCACTTGGGGCGCGTCTCGGCCGCAACGCACGTCGTGGGCTGTCATCGCATTGAGAAGCGGACGCAAATGAAGACGGGGCTCGTCGAGTTTTCGCTGCCGCCAATGGATGCGACGGGCCACGGCGTCTGGGTCGATGTGCCCGAAGCTCTTCTATCGCAGCTGCCGCGCGAGACACACCGACATGCGGTCCATGGGGTCAACCACCTCGTCCTCGCTGTGATCCCGCTCTTCGTGCTCATCGACCCCAGTGACGTGCACACGGAGCACGCCAACTTCAACGAGACCCGCGCGCGGTATGTCGCTGCGAAAATATGAAGTAGAACGTGCGACTGGTGTAGGCCGACGCGCGTGATCTTGTACGAGTCGCACGACGGCGGTGTCGGGATCGTGTCGCGGATTGCGCGCTGCCTCCCTGAGGTACGAATGGTTTGCTTCTTGACGGTTGGTAGAAGGGAGATGTGGTAGATCCTTGCGTGTGCCAAGGAGATCCTGGACGGGTGTGCGTGCGAGAAGGGGTGTCCGTCGTGCATTCAGTCGGCGACGTGCTCCGAGTACAATGGCGCGCTGGACAAAGCTTCGTCCAAGCTCATGCTCGACTTCCTTCATTCGATGCTCTCAGCGCACGACTCGCCAAAGTAACCAGACTGGGGCGCGGTGACGACACAGTAAACTTCTTGAAAATGAGGCTATCTCGAAGGTGCCCCAGTGGGATCGATACTTTGCCATCCCGTACCCTTCCATTGGCCCATGATTTTATACCGGTAAGATTATCGTCATACTTGGTCTACAACCACCAAGAGCTGTCGCTGAGAGCAAACACCCGATATACACACTACTAGCTACGGACGCCGGGGCGACTTCCTTCGATGGTCGTCTTTGGT